GAATGGAGCATGACACCAGATTTTTCATAAGGCTTTGGGCTGGGCTTGTGTTTACAGTGTTGGGTCATTAGCGTGTTATCTCCAGCATTTAATGGGTTTTCGTCAAGCTGCTGGAAGCAGCTTGCCTATTGCGTTTTTAACAAAGCATTTGGGCATTCTAATTAACACAGGGTTTTCTAAGCAAACCACTGTATTCTTCCTAAGGCATTGGGTCATATTCTCTCTCTCATGCTAGCCCATGTGTTTGGGGCCAAGAAATGGGCTTAAATTTTGGTACTCCCAAGTAGCCCAAAATTCTCATTCCTTGATCCCTTAAATGGGCCTTGTGAACGCTTGTACCCATCCATACCACAACCTTCTCAGCAAGCCCCAGATAATTTTATGGCTTGGGCCCACTTAAGTTTGTGGCATAGCTTGGTGTTAGAATAATGGCTCTTCTTGCGTGACGCCTACGCTTGTGCTTGAGTGTTACTATTCCGTGATAGGCTATAATTGGGCCAAGTAACACCTAATGAGTATGTGAGCGTGATTTTTGTAGAGTTGGCATGTTCTTGGCCCTCTTGCACGTGCTCGCTTGGCATGATGTGTGGCTCGTAGCTTGTATTGGTGCGTCTTACAAATCCTCTTTTGTCCCGATTGAACTCCTTTTGTGTTCTATTATTTGTGTTGGGCCAATAATTAATATGGGCTTGGCCCCTTGGATTTTTGGGCCTCAACACCCCCATAGCTATAGCCACACACAACAAATTATCAACACCAAGTCAAGCACATGCATTCTCATTTGCTAAACTTGTGGGTCTTTAGCTTCCACACTCTAAGCTCTCATGCCAAGCCATATAATCTCATATCAATATCAGCAAGTCATCTTCAACTCTTCGTTGAGCTGCCGGAAACATCAACACAAAACACACAGCCGCTAGAAGAAGAACAAAGTACTCCCCAGGGACTTGCTTCTCCCTCGGGATACTTTGGGCCTAGTTCTCGCTAACTTAGACAAAGGGGCAACGAAGTCTTCATTCATTACTCTACTGCGTTCCAAGAATCAACAAAACCCAGATGAGCCTTCGGACGAAAAAGACCCCAACAGTTACAAAGCAATAAGGGGTGGAGGTAATGAATGTTATGGTGACCATCCACATTCCATAGATTTATAACATTCCCCCTTGGATGGCCACCAAACAATGACATAATTGCCTCATTATGGTGTTGGACGGGCTTATTCTACCTCATTAAAACCTTACTAGGAAAAACATGGGAGAAAACCTTGTCGAAGGGAAAAGAGTTGTTGAGGCCCAAAAAAGTCCATGGTTGAGCCCAAATAAGTTTTCGGTCCACTACGATACTATATTAAGAAAAGTCACATATCAGAGTACACGAAGGCTCGTCATATACAAGTCATAGTCCACGTGCCATGCTAAATAAATAATTTGTCATGCCAATGGCTGAAATAATATTATAAAATACAAGCCCATGCTAAACTAAGCACCATGTCCCTCTTCAAGGACGATAAAATTGAAGCACGCCAAGCGACATGCCACGCCAAGCAAGGAATTATTATCCTGCACCCAATCACGCCACAAGCTTAAGTGGGCCCCAAGCCACTCAAATACCTGAGGCTTGCTTGAATGGGTTGTAGTATGGATGGTAATAAATTGTCATGAGGCCCATTGATGGGCCGAGAAATGGAAGTCCCGGGTTGCTTGGGAGCCTTGGGACGCAAGCCCATTTCATAGGCCCAAACATGTGGGTGAGCACATGAGAGAAAAGAATAGCCCATCACTCCAAACAAAAATAGCCCAACACTTGATAAAGTTAGCCCATTTATTTGATCAACATTTTGTCTTAGAAGGCCCATACAATTAGGACAAAGAGACAGCAAAACCCCAACAGCTGGATAGAAAACAAAGCCACAGGTGAAGATTGAAAGGCCATGTGTGCAGAGTTGCTGGGAGGCTCCAGCATGTGGGAAGGAAACAGTTTCAAGCAAGAAACACCCAGCAAACGAAAAGATATTGGCACACAGAGAGCCACCCTTCGAACAAGCATGTATACTAGGGGCGGGCACGGTACGGTATTAAGCCCGTATCGTTACCGATACCGAAAATTTAAATCGGTATGGTACGGTATGGGATTATGGTTTGCCAAAATTGGTACCGTACCGTACCGTGCCAAATCGGTATCGGTATGGTGTTAGTACCAAAATGATACAACTAAAAAACTGAACCAATTCAATATTCAACAACAAAATAAGTGATGCCTAAGTTACAAATTCAAAGATTCAACATATTCAATATCCAAATCCTAATCAACATATTCAATATCCATCAACATATTCAATATCCAAATCATCCAAATCAATATTTATCCATCAACAGATTCATCAAATCCAAATGGTTAAAACTCATGTCTTATGGCTTACAAAACAAAATAGTTAAAATTATGCCTTATGGCTTACAAAAATACAAACACAATCCAAACATAAATGACAAAAACATAAAGTTATACTATTCGGTATGGTACGGTATTGACCAGTACCAAAATCTTGATACCGCTACCATACCATACTCTATTGGTATGGTACGGTACAGTACCGAATATCTCCTAATACCAAATGAAACGGTATGAAATCAGTATGGTACGGTGCGGTTAGGGTACGATTTCGGTATTTCGGTTTAAGATGCCCACCCCTAATGTATACCCACTTCTTTCCTTCATCAGATCTGACCATGAAAGAGGGAAGGAAAGAGAGGAAAGGGGATGGCTGAAAATAGGAATTCCTCACTAGGGCAACTGCGGGGAAGGGACCTTGAGCTCCCAAAATCACTGAGTTTGCGCAAAGGAGCAGTGTAGATTTCACCAAAATACGATGATTGAAGGGATGAGGGGAGAAAGGAAGGAAAAGACTTGACCAAATTGGATAGAAACCATTAGGGTTTCTTGGAAAAAGTGGCTTCCAGCGGCTATAAATAAGGCATCTTCTACCCAACAAACATCAACCACATCCAAAGAGCAAGCTTCCTCTATTACCTCCAAAACCCAGCAATTTCGTGCTCAGTTCATCCTTCTTCTCTTTGTTTTTCCTCTTGGTAGATCATTCTGATATGTGACAGAACCTATGTTGAGCTGCCTGAAAAATGCTTAAGACACCCATTGCCTAGCATCTCTCCTCTTCTCATCCAAAACCTCTGATAATCCTTTTCTTAGAACCCCTGTTTTCATAAAGAAACCACAGCTCTTTCCCTTTGAGGCTAAACTCATGACAACTTTGCACCCATGCCACAAGCCTCTCATGCGAATCTAAAATTCTACCTCTAAGCACTAAGAATTCATCTGTAAGCAGCCATTATTTTTATTGGTGAAGGTAACCAAGGTGTTTCCTAAGGCATATCTGTCCTTTCGATGCATTTTTGGGGCTTGATCTTTGACCTCAGACACGGGATAATTTCAATCAGTTCACTCCTTACGGCAGCCTAGCCCAGTAGCTGCTAGAAGAAAAAAGCCTCTACATAAATTGACGACTATGTTGGGGATTAGGCCATTATCTTCACTGATGCCTCCAAAGAAGAGGACTAGAAGCAATACCATGTCTTCCCAAGACGAGCTGGACCACGATGACTCAGAGTCAAGGCAAAATACCTCACATAGAAAAGAACATGCAAGTGAGGGAGCTTTCACCCTCACAGACCTTGTTGCAGCTGTCCATGCCATGGGGGAAACCTAGAGGGAGATGGTGGACACAATCAAAGAACTAAAAAGTTCAGTCTCCAAGCCAAGCGAAGAAAACGAAAGACCACCTCAAGAGGAGTCTACTGCTGCCGGAAAAGGGGTCTGAACAAAAAGGGCCATCTTTTGTCACCCAAGAAGATGTCATCGCTATGTTGAAGAAGAAACTAAGTCGAAGCCAAAAGGATTGGAAGTATGTCCCTCAACCACCATATCTATTAAGCCTACTACAGTAGCCATACCCCAATGGCTATGAAACACCAAGCTTTGTCCTTTTCGACGGAAGGAAAAGAAGCCCGAAGGAGCATGTCAACCACTTCATTGACGCTTTGGGACCACACGCTGGATCATAATTTCCGTCTCCGGGAGTTTTTAAAAAGCCTTACAAATCGTGCTTATACATGGTATACAACATTGACATCATACTCTATTTTCTTTTGGGAAGATTTGGCAAGCAGGTTTTGTAAAAAAAATATTTCTAGCATGAGGAAAAAGTTACTGCCACTCAGCTCAACAACACTCGCCAAAAACATGGAGAGAATCCCGTGGACTTTGTGCGTAGGTTCCGGGACCTAGCATTGGATTGCTATGATGAGAAAGATGAGGAGGCGTTTGTCAAAGTTTGCATCAGCATTATCGTGGCATATTATAGAGTTTATATGGATAATATTGGCATCAGTCAATTTTCTCAGTTGCTCTAAGCAGTGAGGAAGACGAGCATTTCAGTTAAACTAAATGGGTAGGAAGCTTGGAAGAGTGAAGAGGAAGACAGCCACTTAGGGGCTTCATTTGGTTAGCAAGATTATCGAGAGACAACTGCCGCAACCTCTCATAAAAGCCGCAAATCACTCTCTAATTAATTGGGTTATGAGCCGCATGAAAGCAAAGTAGCAGTTGTAGCTCTATTAAATATTTCTACAGAGCATGGCAGCCTAGTATAACACATACCAACCTAAGCCACAAGCTTTCATGCTATTGCAAGTCATGCATACTCCTTGGATTTTTCACACTTGGGGGCTTGATTTGATTGGAGTATGCATAAATGCAAAGTGGCTCAAAGCCTACTACTGCTGAGTTGCTTTTGCACCTATCTTTTGTTTTTGGCTTTTTAAAGAAGACCATAGGGAGATGGCAGACATGATCAAATAGTTGAAAAGTTCAGTTGCCAAGTCAAACGAAGAAAATGATAGACTTCCACAAGAGGAGTCTGCTGCTGCCAGAAAGGGGTTTGAACAAAAGGGACCATCTTTTGTCACCCCCAAGAAGACGTCATTGCTATGGTAGAAAAAGAACTAAGTCGAAGCCAGGAGGATTGGAAGTACCTTCCTCAACCGCCGTATCCATCAAGCTTACTCCAGCAGCCATATCCTAAAGGCTACGAAGCACCAAGCTTTGTCCTTTTCGACGGAAGAAAAGAGAGCCCGAAGGAGCATGTCAACCGTTTCATTGATGCCTTGGGACCACATGCTGGTGATTATAATCTCCAACTTTGAGAATTTTCGAAAAGCCTTACCAACCGTGCCTATACGTGGTATACAACTTTGGCACCAGACTCTATTCGCTCTTAGGAGGATTTGGCAAGTAGGTTCTGTAAAACATATTTCAAGCATGAGGAAAGAGTTACTACCACTCAGCTCAACAATACTCGCCAAAAACATGAAGAGGATCCCATGGACTTTGTGAGTAAGTTCCGGGACCTAGCGTTGGATTGCTACGATGAGAAAGATGAGGAGGCGCTTGTCGAAATTTGCATCAGCAATATCGTGGCAGAAGGGCTGATGGATGGGGTGTTGATTTCGACCCCATCAACCCTTCTCCCTTCGAGGAACCCCCTCCGCCGTTGCGGGAAGGGACTTCTTTGTGTGGGTTTTCCTCTAAGATTCTCAATTTCGCTCCTTTTCTTGGTATATTCAAGGTCACCCGTTGGGATTTTAGCAAGGTATGCCCCTTCTCTGGCTTTCTCTTGAATTTATTGAGGAATTTGCTAGGTTTCTTTCATCCATGAATGTTGCCCCTTGTTTTGGTAGTCAAGCACCAAACCCTCTTTTGACCTATTTTGTTATTGCAGCAACGTGGGTACTTACAGCGTGGGTGCTGGCAAGGACGGGCTTGCATCAGTCTTCTGGGGGTTCCTTCTCCCTTGATTTGCTCTTTTCACAAGCTGCTGAAAGGGTACCCATTTTTTGTGAGAATAAACTGTTGGTACACATTACCCCATTTTCCTCTCCTTTATTTTTTTTTATTTTGCACTGACCTCTTCTTTGTATATGAAAAGGCTGAACTTGGCATTATGTGCTTTCTTTCTTTTTTTCTTATTTCTGTGCAGGTGTATACGTCTTAGGCATAGGTGAGGCAGGTGTTGGAATCTTCAAATCCTTCAGCCTTCTAACTTGGATATTTGGGGCTTCTGTTTAAGTCTTTTGGTAAACAACTCTACCAATTTGAATATTCTAGGAATAAGCATAGACTGGTGCTTGGCCTAGGCTCACTCCCCTTGTGCACATGTGCTTGATTAATCGTAGATTTTATTTTTGGTCATGAAAAGTAGAAGTTGACAGGACACACGTCTTGCAATGCTTGCTTTTTGTTTTGAGAGAGAACCTGCTTGTTGATTCACAGGGGATTTGTCACTCTGCCAGGACTGGTCATGGCATCTGCTGATCTGTCGCTTATTATGAGGGACCATCTTTATTCCCTAGATGACAAATTGAAAAAAGGGAGGCCGCCTCCTTTGCTTAAAAGTGCTGATGAAGACATAATCATTGATGGGGAGCTAGCGTCGGAAACAACTCCAGTGGTTGATCCTGCATCTATATCGGGGTGCTGCATAGAGAGGTCTATCTCCGGCAATCCCCTTATTCTTCCGTTATCCATGTGACACCAGTAAGGGTTGGTCAGAGTGGGTTGACCGTGAATTGAATGACCCTTCCACCTGTGACGTTCTAAATCGGGCAAGGGTGCTGGACGCCATCTTCATTTCTAAAGCTTGTGACATCCATATCGAAGCTAAGATGCTCCGGCATGTGGTTAGGCGATGGAGTACCGAGACACACACCTTCTGTTTATGGGGAGAGTTCACTCCCACACTTAAGGATGTAACCAACATTTTCCACCTCCCACCTTGCGGCAACCAAGACCCTTTCCACATCGCGCTGACTCCAGGAAATAAACTAAAGCTTAAGGCTTTATGGAAGGGTGCTCCGACTTCTCCTAGCACTTCTGTGCAGTTTAGCAATTGGATACAGCTTTTCGGGGATGTTAATAGGAATGAGCCATATTGTCTTGTAGCATTTGTATCGTTATGGCTTGGGAGATTCCTCTTCTGTGACTTTTCCCAAGATTGTTTGCATGAACGGGTGTTTCCTTTGGCCTTGGCGATAGCACGCGGCAGCGTGCTTCCTCTAGCCCCCATGTTCTTGGGGCACCTATACCACTTGCTCGACCAAGTTCAGCTTCTTGAGAAAGGGGCGGCAGGAACCATGACTGTGGAAACTTTCCTGAACTCCAGCTTGTTGCAAGTCTTCTTATGGGAGCGCTTCAAAGGGATAGAGGTATCCCCACTTCCATACTCAAAGGATAAGACACTTGCTGATTCTGAGGAGGGTTCCTACGTACCGGAGGGTCTTCCTTTGATTTGTAGATGGTCGCGGCGAATGCAAAGGAAGGGCCAAAAATTTCTAGAGCTGCTGGATGATGTTGAGAGCTTTATCTTTCGTCCTTACTGTGCTTTATCAGAGGGATTTAGACATATACCCTTCCATGCTGATTCAGATGATCTGGTTGAGGCCCAAGTAATGACAGCACAAGGTCGTCAATTGAGAAGGGAAACGTTGTTAAGCACTGCATGCCTTCCTTTGCCTACACTGGGTGATGACCACTTGGAGGTTTCCGTGCATTATTCACCTTACCAAGTCAGACGATAGCTTGGGTTCGACCATGGCATGCCTTCCAGTCCTAGCCATGGAGGAGAGCCTTCTTCATTGCATAGAAATTTTTGGACCGAGGACAACGTGCCAGAAGATGGCAGACCTCTTGCCCTTGCTTTGGTCGACAAGGGGCTTGCCGACAGTCTCTCGAAAGCTTACCAAAATTACTGGAATCGCTGCTTTGCTTCATTTAGTCGATTCCACGCTGCACATTGCGACAGATTACTTCCCACTATAGTTCATCATGCTCGCTTACTGTCGGAAGGGAAAGCCATCTCTTTAAGTGAGAAGCGGAATTTTCCTTTCACTTCCAAAAGCGAGGAAATTGTTGGTGATTTTTTGAAGCTGAAGCGAAAGTCGGAGAAGCCAGATTCTCACAGCGCCGGGAAGAGTGTTGCACATAAAAAATGAAAGCGAGGAGAGCTGCAATGCTGATTAGAAGAGACAAGTCGTAAAGGAACCAAAAAAGTTTATCCTTAAGGTAGTAGCAAGTGGTCCCCCCAAACCCAAAAAGAATGCTCCCTTGGAGCCTTCACCGCAGCAGCAAGGAGGTTGGCAAGGTGCCGGAAGCTTGCGTATACTTCAAACAAGGTTTGCTAATACCCGCAAAGGCAAGGGCGAAGGCTCGGGACCTAAGGTAATTGTAACAGTTGATGATGACGATGATAGCAGTGACGAAAGTGGTGGTGCAGAGACTGGGATTAGCACCCACGGGCAAGAGAGCATTCGCGGCACAAGTGGCATGGACGAGGACCTTGACAAAGACCAATACTATAGCTGTGATGAAGGCACATATCTGGATTTCCACACTCACTTTGAGGAGCCAGATGCCTCAAACATGCCTCCCGAATTTGCTAGTGACCATGAGCAGCGTGTTGACGTCGAATCGGTATCAAATGACCTTCTTGCTTGTTTTACTTGGTATATACACGTTGCATGCTGCCTGTTGTGTCTTGCAACTCATACCCCATACTTCCCCCACAGGTTGTGCCCACCGTTGAGGACACAGCAAGTTGCTCACCGGAGGCTGGCCTTGGCCTTCCTGCTACTGTTGCTGACACTGCGCAGACTATTGGCAAGTTTGACACAGCTGCCAACACCTCTCCACAGCTTCCAGAAGGGTCCATTGACGAGCTTCTTCCGCTTTGCCACAGATTCAATGGTTATGTGGCATTCCAAGGTGCACTTGTGTATCCAGAGACAATTGCGGTCTTGAGAAAATTCATGGACAAATACGGGAGCTTCATGGAAATTACCGATATCACCTCTTCTTTCTCAAGGAGTGCTGCCTTTTGAGCCATTGGCTTAGTGCTTCACGGGATGGACACCATGCAGCTCCTTGATATCACTGATCATAGACTATTTTGTTGGCGAGACGCGATATGTGAGGCCATAACTCTAGGCTTTCATATGGACTTCCTCCTTAACCTCGTGAAGGACCTAGAACGTGCCGTCTTTGGAGCGTGAGCCATCTGTAGTATGGAATTATCACATGGTTCTGATGAGACAAAAGCTGCTGCCAACATCTTGAACATTAAACAGCGAGAATTTGAGGACAAACACCGAGAATTACATGCCTTTCTTCTTGCTAAAGGCGTTTCTGCCGACAGCGCTAACTGCGTGGCGGAAGCAACAGCCAGAGCGTCTCCTAGGGCTTCCTCCGTTCTTTTCGGGCGTTCCCCATAACCTCACGGTATTAAGTCCTTTTTCTTTTTCTATTATTACTTTTTATCATGCTACCTCTTCTAGCGTCACTTAGTCTTGACACATGCCTTCTTTCTTCTTGCAGGTTGTCTCTCCTTGACTTGGCAATCGATTTTCTTGGCGTTGTGAGAATCCGGCTTCTCCAGTTTTAGCTTCAGCTTCAGCTTCAACAATTTCCCTGCTTTTGGAAGTGAAGGGCAAATTCCGCTTCTCACTCAAAGATATGGCCTTGACTTCCGACACTAAGCGAGCATTACGAACTATAGTGGGAAGTAATCTGTAGCAATGGGTAGCATGGAATCGACTAAATGAAGTAAAGCAGCGGTTCCGGTAATTTTGGTAAGCTTTCGAGAGACTGTCAATACGCCCCTTGTTAGCCAAAGCAAGGGCAAAAGGTCTGCCATCTTCCAGCACGTTGTCCTCGGTCCAAAAAACTCTATGCAATGAACAAGGCTCTCCATGGCTAAGACTGGAAGGCACGCCCTGGTCGAACCTCCAAGTGGTCATCACCTAGTGTAGGCAAAGGAAGGCATGCAGCGCTTAACAACGCTTTCCTTCGCAATTGACAGCCTTGTGCTGTCATTACAGGGGCCTCAACCAGATCATCAGAATCAGCATAGAGGGGTATATGTCTAAATCCCTCTTATAAAGGACAGTAAGGATGAAAGATAAAGCTCTCAACATCATCCAACAGCTCTAGAAAATTTTGGCCCTTCCTTTGCATTTGCCGCGACCATCTGGAAATCGAAGGAAGACCCTCCGGTATGTAGGAACCCTTAACAAAATCAGTAAGTGTCTTATCCTTTGAGTAGGGAAGTGGGGATACCTCTATCCCTTTGAAGCGCACTCATAAGAAGACTTGCAACAAGCTGGAGTTCAAGAAAGTTTCCACAGCCATGGTTCCTGCCGCCCTTTTCTCAAGAAGCTGAACCTAGTCGAGCAAGCTATATAGGTGCCCCAAGAACATGGGGGCTAGAAGAAGCACGCTACCACATGATATCGCCAAGGCCAAAGGAATTACCTGCTCATGCAAACATCTTGGGAAAAATCACAAAAGAGGAATCACCCGAGCCATAACGATATAAATGCTGCAAGACGATATGGCTCATTCCTGTTAACATCCCCAAAAAATTGTATCCAATTGCTAAACTGCAAAGAAGTGCTAGAAGAATTCGGGGCACCCTTCCGTAAAGCCTTAAGCTTTAGTTTATCTTCTGGAGTCAGGGCGATGTGGAAATGGTCTTGGCTATCGCAAAGTGGGAGGTGGAAAATATTGGCTACATCCTCAAGTGTGGGAGTGAACTCTCCCCATGAATAGACGAAGGTGTGTCTCGGTACTCCATCGCCTAACCACATGCCGGAGCATCTTGGCTTCGATGTGGATGTCGCAAGCTTTAGAAATGAAGATGGCGTCCAGCACCCCTTCCCAATTTAGAATGTAGCAGGTGGAAGGGTCTTTCAATTCACGGTCAACCCACTCTAACCAACCCTTGCTGGTGCCACATGGATATTGAAAGAATAAGGGGACTGTCGGAAATAGACCTCTCTATGCAGCACCTCGATATAGATGCAGGATCAACCACTGGAGTTGTTTCTGGCGTTGGCTCCCCATCAATGATTATGTCTTCATCAGCACTCTTAAGCAAAGAAGGTGGCCTCCTTCTTTTCAATATGTCATCTAGGGAATAAAGATGGCCCCTCAATAAATTAAAGAGAAAGCCGAAGAAAGGGGCATACCTTGCTAAAATCCCAACGTGTGACCGTGAATATACCAAGAAAAAGAGCGAAATTGAGAATCTTATAGGAAAACCCGCACAAAGAAATCCCTTCCAGCAACGACGGAGGGGCTTCTTCGAAGGGACGGGGTCGAAATCAACTTCCCAACTACTGGAGGCAGGTGTTTTCCACCCGATCTCACTCTCTCACTCAGTTTTGAGTTGGCTGGGGAAACAGAGGAAAATGAAGAGAAGAAAAGAAGGAAGAAGTTAGGTCTGGTGCGTGAAAAGAGGAAGAAAAGGGAAGGGAAGAGAAAGAAAGAAAATAATAAAAAGAAAGGAAGAAGGCGTTTGGCATTGGGAAACTACAAATAACCGCTGGGGCCAATCATGACACACCGTCATTTTGCACGCGGGAAGAGGAGAGGTTCCCTACAAATACAAATCTGATTTTGTGGGTTGGGTTTAATTATTCGGCCCATTGCAGCACTTGCCCATGGCCCTTATAATTAAGGGCCTAATGTTCAGACCCAAAAAAATCCCTGGTTGGGCCCAAATAAATTCATGGCCCAAAATAACGCATTATTCAGAAAAGGCCCAATTTGGAGCACACAAAGACCCGCCATGCATGAATCACACTTCGCGTGCCATTCCAAATAAATAATCCATCGTGCTAGGAATCGAGATTAAGATTATAAAATGCATTCGTTCTACAAATCCATGCTAATTATCCCGTTAAGCATCATAATTAAAAAATATGTCAAGCAACATGCCATGTCAAACGGGAAATTATTATGTCACACCCAACCACGTTACAAGCCTAAGTGGGCTAAAGCCACTCAAATACTTGGGGCTTGCTTGAGTGGGTTGTGGTATGGATGGTAATGAGTTGTCATGAGGCTCATTGATGGACCAAGAAATGAAGGTTCCGGGTTGCTTGAGAGCCTCAGAACTCAGGCCCATTTCTTAGGCCCAAAAAATGTGGGTAAGCACAAGAGAGAAAATATCCCAACCGAAATATCCCAACCAATATGGTCCACTAAAATTAACCACTATAGCCCAAAACTTAAGGAGATTAGCCCATTTGTTTGGTAGGTTGACTTGCCATCTTAGAAAGCCCATACAATTAGAAGTAAGAAGCAGCAAAGGCTTCAGCATTTGGCTGAAAGACAAAGCCATGGAGGAGCTTGGAAGACCACATGAGCTGCTGGGAAGGAAGGAACAAGTTTTCAAGCAAAACGTCCAAGGGAACAAAAGATATTGGCGCCCAATGAGCCACCCTTCGAACCAGCATGTATACCCATTTCTTTCCTTTTTCAGATCTAACCATGAAAGAGGGAAGCAAAGAGAAGAAGGGAGATATATGAAAATAGGAATTCTTTACTAGGGACAGCTACGGGAAAGGGACCTTGAGCTCCCAAAATCCCTGATAGGATGATTGAAGGGATGAGGGGAGAAAGGAAGGGAAAGACTCGGCAAAATGGGATGGAAGCCATTAGGGTTTCTTGGAAAAACATGGCTTCCAGCAGCTATAAATAAGGCCTCTTCTATCCAACAAAAATTATCCACAACCGGAGAGCAAGCTTCCTCTCGTACTTTCAAAACCAGCAAATTTCGTGCTTAGTTCATCTCCTTCTTCCTTGTTTTCCCTTCTTTGCAGGCTGCTCTAACTTGACAAAACCTCTATCAAGCTGCTGGAGAAAGCTCAAGCCACCCTTTTCTCTCTTTCCCTCATCCTCAACGAAACCTCTCTGCAAAAACCTTTTCTCTCCCACCTTGATACCCCAACTTTCCCCTAGGAACACTTAATTTTCTCCTTAGTGCTAAACTCATGGCAACTTTGCTCCCATGCTACAAGCCTCTTATGCCAAGTTAAGATCTTACCTGTAAGCATTGAGAATTTATCTGTAAGCAGCCATTATTTTCTGTTGGTGAAGGTAACTAAGGAGTTTTCTAAGGCTTTGCTATCCTTTCGAAGCATTTTGGGATCTAATCTTTGAACTCAGACACAGGGGATATTTTCTTCAACTTGCTTCTTACGGTAGCCCAGCCCATTTGTAGCTGCCAGAAGAAAAAGGCCCCTACATAAATTGGCGACTTTGCTGGGGATGTTCATGAGAGCTACAGCAACTACTTCTCTCGCTTAATGCCCAAAGCTAAGTTGGTCAAAGAGTGACTTGAACTTTAGGTTTCTTTGGAGGACCTGCGAAGCTGTGGGTCCCTATTTCAGAGTTAAATAACTTTCCATCACGCTTGTTTCAGCCTCTATAAGATTATGAAATGTTACAGCAGCTGTTTCCAGTTGTCCCGATGAAGCCCCTGAGTAGCATTCTTCTGGCATGTCCAAAGTAAAAACTTCGTTGCCCGAATCATCACCCCATCCATCAGCACTCAAAGAGACATATGCAAAGTTCACATTTCATGCTCAATCAATCATTCCAGCATACCTTTTTTTTTCACAAAGCAAGTAGATGGCTGAAAATAGGAATTCCTTACTAGGGCAACTGCGGGAAAGGGACCTTGAGCTCCCAAAATCCCTAATTTTGTGCAAATGAGCAGAGTAGATTTCACCAAAATAGGATGATTGAAGGGATGATGGGAGAAAAAAGGGAAAGACTCAGCCAAATTGGATAGAAGTCATTATGGTTTCTTGGAAAAAGTGGCTTCCAACGGCTATAAATAAGGCCTCTTCTACCCACTGGCAAACCCAAATTTTTTTTAGCGGAGGTGCAATATTGACTAAGTATGAAAAATGGTTTTTCAGAATAATCAATTTCTCAAGATAATTTTTAGCGGCTTTTACTTCTTACACATCAAATAAGAAAACTTAATTTTATGGGATTTTAGTATGAAGTATATATTAACTTCATGAGCCATCATTTTTAGCCTAAATCATATTTTGCACTAAAATTGATTTTTCATATTTTGATTTGGGGGGAATTTAATTTTCTAGTATTTTTATTTGAATCCAAATGGGGGGTACTTCCTTATTTACATTGTAAACTTAAGTAAATGTCTTTGTCATTTACTTAAATGTTGAAAATGTATAGATCCACGTAGACTACCTTAACGTGCTAATCAAGCATAAATCTGTTATAATTAGTTAATAAAACATATATTGCATGAAGACATGCAAATGGGATTTGATTGGATTCGATTAAATCGGAATTAAGATACGACATTTCACCTTTTCCTACCTAAGTGATCTGGGATTGTATCACCATCCCATGGTCTCACAAAATCCGCATTTAGAGAAGGTGTGAAATAACTTCTTCATACTTCATCTTTGCTCAGCTTCAAATTGAGATGTTGAAAGTCTATAAAGCATTGTTACTTGAAGGTTTTCATTCATGAAGTCCTTCAAAAAAAGGTGATCCAGTTTAATTTTGTTTTCTTTGATAAGGAGATATGTTGCTAAATTAATTAGTTTCTTTATGACAATATTGATTGATGTTGGGTTACTCTCACAGTTAAAAAGGAAAGGGAAAAGAAATTCTATTTCAAGAATGTTTTGAGGTCGCTTTTCTTCCAGTATTCATCTATGGATTTGGAATCATCGCAAGGAGAGGGCTGGGGGCTATGTTGGGACGAGATTGAACGTATCAATATACATTTCCTTTCCGTCAACTAAAGTCTGTTCCTCCAATGAGTACATGTAACCCTGCTAGTGCTATTTCAAAAAATATTGTGGTCTAGAAAAATTCAGACTTTGGTGATATAATCATCATTAAAAACATGACCTAAAACCCAAAATAGAAGAAGTTGAAATTAATGGACGTAGGGTAACTAATTAATCCGGTTACGATTCTTTAATTAGTCAACTTAGTCAACTAATTAATTTGGTTATAATTGTACAAGTATCAGCTTGAATTCAATTTGTCGCATCCTTGTTCTCTAAACAAAAAATAAGAATAAGAATTTGTATCTATATAGAAATGTGGCAACAACAAAAAACATGTCCTAGTTAAATTAAAAAGGTTAAAGTCAACATTCTTTGCATGGCCATCCATGTGCATGTACTATCTGTTGTGACAGTCATTGCTGCTTCCCCAACAAATGGACACGTGTCATACTTTTATTGGATGTAAAATAGGGTATTATGAAAATGAAACCTAATTACTTTTATACTCCCCCCTCCCTTTACTTAGTTTCTTCTACACACTTCTTTTCCTCTTCATGCCCTAAGGCCCTGTTTGGTTCGCAGAAAATATTTGATGGGAAATAATTTCCCATGTATTTCCCAAGGGATGGGAAATGGAATATTCCTTTCCCATGTTGGTAATCTTGGGAAAGTAACAAGGAAATATCACTTTATTTCCTTTCACATGTTTGGTTTGTGTAGGAATGTAAAACAAAGTTTGTTTAATTTTCCAATTATACCCATATGAAATCAAATAAAAAAAGAATGCATTTAATGATATATTGTAATTCTAAATTGTTAATAGGGACAAAATGGTCATGAAAAATGTGTATTTAATGTTGGCTCATTTTCCCAAACTTTCACATGAGGAGGAAAACAAAACCCAAGGGAGGAGGGGGAACCATGTGCCAAGCAACCATTTTCCATGTGTCAGGCAACTATTTCCCATGCATGTAGTTACCGAACATGGGAAAGTAATTGATTTCCTATCCCCAAGTTTCCTTTCCCATAAACCAAACGAAGTTAAATACAAAAATCGGTATGAGCTAGAGAGCTAGAGCTATAGTAAGAAATTTCTAGGGTTTTCCTCTTCTTGATGGGAAATTCAGGAACATGAATGAATGAAATATGTTTTGGAATTGTTATGAACATGAATGTAATGAAATATGGATTGGAACTGTTATGAGATTGAAAATTTTGGGTCTAATTGGAGTATTTTTGAGATTTATGTTCCTATTTATTTTACACACTATTTTACTTTAAATTTGAGCTTAAAACTTTCAGTGTGAAAAAAAAAAGGCCAATATCAAATTGGTTAATTGCCTGGGTTGGTTAAAAAAAGAGAATTGAACAAATATTGTAGTCAACCCAAATTGAACCAACCTAACACATTTTGTTAACTGACATTTTTGGTTCGAAACCCATTTGGTTTGTTTTCGGTTTGACTTGATTATGATTCTATTTAATTCTGAATAATCAAGACAAGTACTTTCTTTTTTACCATAAAGATTTAAACTTTTGTGTTTGAAACAAGGGGCGCTTCTAATTCTGTAGGTGCTTGAAACAATTTTGTCTTCTACATATTACTATATCTCTAGAGTCGTTAATAAATTCCAAAATCCATTTTGTCGTCCCGTAGCGACAATCTTCTTTTTTATTGGTACTAAAGGAGTAGTTCCCCACCCATGAGCTACTTTACCATATTCTAAATTCAATGGTTCCTTATGAACTAACCAGAAGGTTACAATCTGTAAATCCAGCGTGGGGTGTGGATCGTTTTGATCCTTTTGTTCCGGGAGGAATAGCCTCTCATCATATTGCAATAGGGAGGTCAAATTGGATATGTAATTATTGGAATAATTGTTGGAGATTCAAATGGTGGATACATATTTTTCTTGTGCTTAATCTTTTCTGATTATACTAGAAATCGTATAAGAACTCTGGGACGGAAGGATTCGAACCTCCGAATAGTGGGACCAAAATTTGTTGCCTTACCACTCTTGAATGGAAATGAAAAAGAGATGTTACGCCAGTTTCTTTGGAAATGGTAAGATCTTTGGCGCAAGAAGGAGTTGTAAATCCTTAATCTTCCATTTTTATTATCCAGCCTCAATTTTAGTTTGGAAATGGTAAGATCTTTGGCGCAAGAAGGAGTTGTAAATCCTTAATCTTCCATTTTTATTATCCAGCCTCAATTTTAGTTTGGGATTAGGGCAAACAGATTAAATCAGTTCAGTACTAAGTTTTGGGCCCAAAACATAACCTACTAAAACCGAGCCTAAGTCCAATATAGTGTTCAAGATATATTTGTAAGATTTATTTGAGTTTGTGTAAGTATTTATAAATCATCAATAGTTGATATATGAATATGGAAATAAGACTATAGTTGGGGAGGTCATTTCTAGTTAAATATTTGGGAAATAGCCTAAAATGCCACCCATTTCATAATTTTAACTAAAAATACCACCCATTCCTAATTTTTGTACAACTACCACCTATAAATATAAAATTATTGTCCACTTATTGTACCCATATCAGTTTTTCAGAAATTGGCTTCTCTCTCTAACTCTCTTCGCTCTATCTCTTCGGCCCGTCTTTCTCTCTCAACGGTGGCTGTTCATCCATCGTTGACATCCACGAGGTACTGTTCATAAACATTTTCTTTGAAATTTGAGGTTTTTGCGAATTTGGTTTATGGTGTATGGATTTGTAAGAAATTGGTTTAGGGTTTTAGTGTTTAGGGGTTGCTCAGAAATTGGGTTTGGGTTTATGGGTTTCTATGAACTAGGTAATAACTCACACCCACTCTCACTCGCTCACTGGCACTGTTCACAGAAGGAAAACTCTTCATTTTGTCACAGAACGTTTGGGCTTAAGAGGAATCGACATATTGATGGGTTGCAATGTCATGATTCGTTTATCTCCTGTCGTGTTAAGAGGATATTTACAACAGTGTGTCTCGCAGGTGTAGGAACAGGTAGCAAATTAGTTTTTCTTTCCTTGTTACACGACTAATTGACTAAGTTTTAGACTTTTATTGTATTGCAGTATGGTTATCTTTGGAGAACTCAGAAGTGGGCTTTTAATGGTCTTTGAATAAGGTGTAGGATTTAGCTGATTAAGACAAACTAACAGCATACACATGTTTAGGTTTTGTTGCTCGTTAGTGGTTTCCCATCTGTATCTGACTATCTTGCTTTAATTTTTTCGGGAAGGGTTTGCATTTGCTCACTGCACAACCTGCAAGGCTCCTTACCATTTGAGAGTTCATGTTATTGCTGATAGAAAATGGCGAACCTTGAAATTCCGATTCTTTGTCACTAGAGACATTATTTTTATATTTCTGGCTGTTCAGCTTGTAGGTCATTAGTAATTTACTTTAGTTGCTTTCTTCACTTTGATAGCTGGCATTGGATGTGCATTTTGAAACATTTCTATTAATTTATGCAGGTGATTGCTTCATTGGCATATTTGGTGTATCTAATAGATGGTTTCCAGCAATTCTGGCTTCGTCTTGCATGGTGTATCTAAACGTTTGGGTTTCGTTCACCTTTGTCTGGGTAAGTCCCAACTATCTATATTGTTTGATGAGATTTTAACAACTGAAATGACTGTATTAAACATTCTTATGCTGGATAGAACACAAAGAAGCACCTGACACAGAGAGTCCAGAATTTGGACGATAAATTGCTGGAGCAGAAGAAGGCAGCTATTAAATATTGGATACAAAAATGCAAGATCCATGGTAAATTAATTGGGCACAAACCACATATTACAAAACCAGGATGATTTTTGGCATGCTTGAAAAGAGAAGGCCAAAGTTGGATAAAATATTTTGGGATGGTTGAAGATTCTTGGACACCTTTTTTCTTTTCAAGTAGTTTTGTAGAAACAAGTTCTACACATGGGCTTTTATCGGTTATATGTTCTACACGCGAGCTTGTATCGATTATATTTTGTTATGAAAAAAGTAAAAGTACTCTCTGCAATTGTAAGATGGTGCAAGATCGGTGTCCTTGTCATAAATTTGACAACATTAAGTTGGAAAATATGACCTTTTCACGGCTGTGATCAATTGCAACTAATTTTGATATTGTAGTACACAACAGGGTTACCTTGTGAAAGAGTGGAAATATCCCTATATATCTGAATTTCACCCTCATGCTATAGATTTTTTTATATGGTTTATTGGCAACAATTCAGATAAGATTTTCCATTGTGGAAGAGTTTTCTGATTGTATAGGGAAGCATTTATGCAATACACTAAAAGTCTAAAACTTAGTCAATTAGTCGTGTAACAAGGAAAGAAAAACTAATTTGCTACCTGTTCCTACACCTGCGAGACACACTGTTGTAAATATCCTCTTAACACGACAGGAGATAAACGAATCATGACATTGCAACCCATCAATATGTCGATTCCTCTTAAGCCCAAACGTTCTGTGACAAAATGAAGAGTTTTCCTTCTGTGAACAGTGCCTGTGAGTGAGTGAGAGTGGGTATGAGTTATTACCCAGTTCATAGAAACCCATAAACCCAAACCCCAATTTCTGAGCAACTCCTAAACACTAAAATCCTAAACCAATTTCTTACAAATCCATACACCATAAACCAAATTCGCAAAAACCCCAAATTTCAAAGAAAAGGTTTATGAACAGTACCTCGTGGATGTCAACGATGGAGTCACGCTTAGATGAACAGCCACCGTTGAGGGAGAAAGACGATTGCGTCTTAGAGAGAGAGGTACACGAGGGAGAGAGACGGGCCGAAGAGATAGAGCGAAGAGAGTTAGAGAGAGAAGCCAATTTTTGAAAAACTGATATAGGTACAATAAGTGGACAATAATTTTATATTTATAGGTGGTAGTTGTACAAAAATTAGGAAGGAGTGGTATTTTTAGTTAAAATTATAAAATGGGTAGCATTTTAGGCTATTTCCCTAAATATTTTTATTTTTATTTCTGGGTTAATGGGTTTGGATTTTGTTGACAGTGTTACTTTCCGATATGTGACTACGACGTCGTATCGTAATCCACTGTGGAGCTTGAACGCTTTATCTTTCTTGTTCTCTCGCGTCCGTGTGTTGAAAGCCAACGGAACCCTCTCCTTCCGTCCTAAAAAAAGAAAACATACAAACAGAACCCTCTTCCTTCCTCTCGTTTTCGAAATTCCAATTTCCCGCCTTCTCTTCTCTCAGTCTCACACTCTCGCGCAGAGAGGTAGGAACCAACCATTCAGTCTTCTTCATTTTCCCTTATCATTTTCCTCTACTCTTCGTTCTTCATCATCGTCATCCTCCATAATTTATTGCTATTAGGGTTAGGGCTTTCACTTTTGAGAGGCCTCTGGATTGCAACCGCCGTTGACCCTTTTGCAAATTACTGTAAGATCCCCCTCCATTTTGCAAACTACTACGCATTACTGTTTTTCTGTATTTTTACTTTTCTCAAATTTTGCTCGCAGATGGAGGCTCTCTACTCCAAACTCTACGATACGTACATGAAACTCAAGGTGTTCTGTCCTCTTTCCCTTTTCTCTTCCCTTTTCTTTTTTTTTTTTTTTTTTTTTTTTTTTTTTTTTTTTTTTTTTCTTAGTTAATTGAATATTAATTTTGGTCAGGAAAATTTGAGATGAAGGAAATGGAAAGTAAATTTTTGTTTTTCTTTCTTTGTTGTGTGTTTCTCAGTTTTGAGTTGATTTATAAAAAAAAACAAAAAACAAAAAGAAAAAAGATTTTTCTGTTTAATCTAATTTTTTGTAGCAGCGTTTTCTCTCTCTAATTGTTAGTCGTTGTTATGCGGTTTCAGTCGAAGAAATGGTCGGAGTTGGATAATGTTAATAAAGATCAAGAAGTAAAGTTCATGGATTATATCTCAGGTATGTATTTCTCCACCGTAGAATTTGTTATAATAGTTGCATTTGATCTTCTTTTTAACATGAGTATTTGCCATCGCTGCAACTGAGGCTCCAACTTTATTCTTCTCTCTGACCCAACTTTGTTGTTTATTTTTTCGGTTGCAGCTGCAGAGCAGGTAATCCAACAATTGAAATCTGAAAATGAGAGGTTGCTTTCACAAGTTAAAGATCTGACAAGTGAAGTGGCTTCTATTAGGCATGCATTTCTAAGTTCCATTGGATTTTCAATTAGTCAACCTTTACAGTAGCCTTCATAACAGGCTTTTAAAGCATATGTGACATTGATTGCAGGTCCGCCAAAGATGAACAATGTACCGAGTACCAGGAGCTTTTAATGGAAGAGAACAGGAAGAGTAAGATATCACTGGTCTGCTTAATTATGATGCCTGTGTCATCTGGATCCTTGAGTTTCTTCCTCTGTTCTGGGGATGAATTTTATAGGAATTATCTATTCACGTAAAGTATAGATTGTGATCTTGGTGAAGCCTATATTTTGCCTTCTGATAAGAACTAACATACATTAATTATAGGTGTTTGGAAAATCGATGAAAATAGTTTTTGCATATATTTGTTTGAAAGATATAATAAAGAAAATATTGTTTTTATTATTAAACATGTTGAACTCTTGTGCTCAAATTCTTGTTATACTTGCAACTTGCAAATTATTAGGTTCAACATGTTTTGACACATTTACACATGAAGAACGCCATTTTTATCTTATTCATTTATTCAATTGTTCTTTCCTTAGGCCAAATTGTTTTAATAATGTGTTGGTTGACTCTTTCTGCTTCTTCTAAAAATCTTAACTAGCATTATTAAATTTGTGCACAAAGCCATTCCTATGCCCTCCTGCACTTGAAGATTTGTCACTAGGAACTATTCTTGGTAAATGTATTCAACACTGAACAGCATGTGCATAGTGTTGCTTAACATGTATGAACTTCTGTAGTTTGCTTCTCCCATGCTGTGATGATCATTCAATACCTTTTTCTTTTTTTGATGGCTCAAATTTTTGGCAGATGAAGAACTTTCTGAAGAAGTAGCGAGGCTCCGAAATCTGCAACAGGGGGGAAATTTTAGCAGACTGAAGGATAGCAAAACAGACAATGGAGGAGCGTGTACACCTGCTAGTGGTCAAGTATCAGAAGAAGCAGGCAATCGGTCACAGAGAAGAAAGACACATAAACGTAGGAGGCAATCCCTGTCTGAGACAGAGGATATAGTTATGCCTTCTAGCAGTCTTCAAGATGATGAAATCCTAAGAGAATCTGAAAAGGACTTGCACAAGGGAGCCTTGCCTAGTGGGTCTCTTATAACTGTTCAACAGGTATCTGATAATCCTATCGAAGTATATATTTTGAGCAGAAACTTATTGGCTCCTCCTCCTTCTCTGACTAATGTTTTTTTTTTCAGCCACAATGCTGTAGAGCTATTGAAAGACCAGGTATGTGTCTTCGTTTCTGAAACTGAGGTTACTGCTATTTTACTTGTTCATATGGTGTTGTTGGGGTTATTTTATATGCTATGTCTTTTTCAAGGTGGCGATGTTAACCCAACTGGCCAAGCTAACTGCCTGTTTCAAGTGCTTGTTGAGTATCTGGTGGATTTAAAGTTCTCGACTGTTAGTCAAACTGAAGAAATATGTATTTCAGCTGTGCATCAATCAAGTGGTAATTCCTAGAATATGTGAAGATTCTACATTTTAGTTTGAAATTTTTCCTCAAATGTGTTTTTCTGTTTTACTCTGCTAACTTGTTTGGTTGTTTTCTTTATTTCCTCTAATTCCCTATAGTAAGATCCAAGATTCTTTCCCCTTTATTTTAAAGGGTGACAGTATAGCCAAAGGGTCACTTATAGAATTGAATCATGAAATGAAATGTAACTGCCTAGGGTTAGTTAACACTTCTGAGAGGCAACACGAACTGTTAGATATTAGAGTTGAGTTAAAGCTACTAACGAACCAAGCCACTGGCAGACTACTCAGGCTTGGCTTGTTACTAATGCAATCAAGCTTGAAAATTGTTTAAGATTAGATGTTTTTATGAGACTACTTAGGGCAGACGATGTCTTAGAAACTATCAATAGGGGTCTTATCCACCATTTTACGGCGTTAGAATTAAACAATTCTGATTTTTTACAATGCCAATTGAATCTACTACCTGATGAACATTAATGCAACACAAAGCCACTAGTCAATGGACCAACGCTTTTTTAATTAAACAATTCTTCCACCCATGGAAAGGAGAAAGATAAAATGATGTAATGACTCTTGTTATTAATGAAACTAAACCCACACATCAATGGGAAAAATGGCTTCAAGATTATGAAAACTGTAGGCTTAGTTTCTGGACAAGATTACAATTGAATTTAAGATGTAGGGTTGTATTAGTTTCTGGACAAGATTACAATTGAATATAAGATGTAGGGTTGTATTGGAAAGGTCTGTGTATATGTTCTGAATTTTGACATAACCTCCTATGCTCCTATAGTCATGCAAAATGATATGTGAAAATATTGAAAAATAAAATTTCAACAGGTATAGGTTTCATGCAGTTAAACTGTGTTTAGACAATCCAAATATAGATTTTTTTTGGTATCCGATGTTTTCCATTTTCAGAATTCATTATTTAAAAACGTACTACCAAATGCATTTTAGAATTGTTCCTGTATCTGAAAAGCATACAGATGTTTTTGAATATGTAACCGAACGTGCCTTTAGCTTCTTGTTCATTTTGTAATTAGTTTGTATTCTGGATGTTCCCTTCTTCAAATTGGCAGGAAATCAAAATGCAAAAAAGAATAAAAATAATATTCTCTATTGATGGACTCATATATGATTGAATCCATGTGTAATGCTGACACTCATGCCTACTTCTTGGAAGCTATGATAATTTGGATTGCTTGACACCTAGCACTGATAAAAAGAATTCATTCATATACACAGAAGTTTCATTGTTTATGGGAGTGAAGCTTGCATTATACACTATGTGTGCTTGCACAGCATTAAACAGTGAAACAAGTACTCCACGGAAGGATTATCCATAATCCTCTAGAACTTACTAACAGTACAACTAACGACAATACATCTAAAAGAACAAGACCCTTAAGATTTCACAAATGACTCAAGTTACTTCCACCCTTCTAAAACCACATTAAGGAAAAAGAACGGAATAGGATTTGAATTTCACCAAGTGCAATTTGATGTTTTTCCTAATGTATGTTGCTTCATCTATTTTGAGTCATCTTTAAGACCTGGTAATGTTTTGTACTGAGAGAACTGTCTGCCTTCATTTGTACATGCATATGTTGTGAAACTAAGGCAATATGCTATGCATTTTTTTACTAGTGTGGTTTGTGGTGAGTAACGTAGCATATACTCTCTTTAATTATTTTCTCATCTGAAGCACTATAATTAAGGTTTATTCTTGAACTATCAGAGTCACAGCCCTCTCTAGTATTTTGCATCCATTTGGCATTTTCGGTTGTGCATGAGTTTGAAATTAAATATTAAAGACTTCTAATACATTTCTGTGTGAGAGCTTGAAAATGTAGGGTTTGGCAACTTAATCCACTGAATTAGGCTTTGGTCGCTGTATATCAGTGCCCGGCTCAAGGCAGGATTACTAAAAAGAAAGTACTAAAACTTAATCAATTGACTTTCAACACTGAAAGTTGGTTTATCTTTTTCGGGGGGATTGGCCTTGACAGGTTATGGATTATGAAATCACATTTCTATATCTTTTCCTGTTTTTATTGTTTCTTTTTCAACTTGAATGGATTTCATTGTCTTAAGAATTAGTTGTTGCATATCAAAATTTGATGATTATATATGGTTCTGACAGGTTACTCCTTCAATCTTACATGGGTGAATAGAGGTGGTGGAAAGGAACCAGAACTTCTGTACCGTGTCTTGTCCTTGGGGACATTTGAGAGGGTTGCACCAGAATGGATGAAGGATGCCATAATGTTCAGCACAACCATGTGCCCTAAATTCTTTGAAAGGTTATCCCGAGTTGTCAAGCTGCACGCATAGCCACCCCCTTTCTGTTCCTCTTTTTCTTAACAGGTTGGTGACTGGATTTCTGTTTCTGACAGTGAGAATGTGAAATTATAACTTACTGCTTCTGGGCTATATACCAGGGAACTGATTACTTAGTCTCGTGTAGCACTTGTAAAGTGAGAATCTCATGTAGCACTTGTAAAGTGAAAATCTCCTTGTAAAGGGTTTGCGACCTTTGCTTTGAGGAAAAATATATGTTAAAATTATGATTTTGTCCCATGATCCTCTTGAATATATGAATAATTCTGCAGCAAGGTTTGAGTAAATCTAGTCTGTTTTGGAAACGGTATCCTTGTTGATACCTTGCAGTCTTTTTGGTCCGGAGTTCTATCATGAATTGGTAGTTGCTTGTTTGTCAGAAATCTAAACTTCCCTTGATCGTAGGTTGACTTATAAGATCTATGCTCAAGTGCCACAAATGATGTATGTATGCTGCCGCCCACCAAGGCTTAAGTTCTTGTGTCTTCAACGAGCTGTGAATAGCTTGTTAAAATGATGTGTGCGTCTATGTATTGTTTTTTTTTTTTTTTTTGGACAAAGGGATATTATCGGGGAGAAAGCAAACACAATACCAAAAATAGGACAAAGCGTAAGGGTTTTGGTCGGGCTACCCTCTGACAGGAAACATTACTCGTGAATCCATGATAGAGCTTCCCCCTCCTCCCATGAGTCAAATCCACAAAAACTCGATCGGGAGGTTCGTCAAACCAATATATATGTAAATCAAATCCCTCAAAGTGATATATATTGACACTATATTACCGATAATCAAATCAGATTGGGATGGATCAAAATGCCATGCGATTAATATTAATTCTCACTCCCTTCAACTTCCAGTTCTCAACAATGGATGCTAAGTGAGAAGGATCCAAACATTTTGCAGGGAAAACTACGTCAAATGTCTGCATTAACCTGTTTGGCCATTCTTACCCTGTTAATTTATCACTTTTTTTTAAAATGAAAAAAGGGTTAATTACAATTTTGGTTATTGGGGCTTGGCCCGATTTTAATTTTGGTCACTGCACCTTTAATTTTCCGATTTTGGTCATCACATTTTGCATCATAAAAAAATCAAGTCCAATTGGAAATTCCGCCAGTTAGGACACAGGTGGTGCGTCCGTACAGGGGTATTATTACCTTTTCACCTCAGCCCCTTTTTCAAAAATCAGCGTCGTGGGCGATTTCTTCTCGAAAAAAATTTAGGGTTCTGAAATTTGGGGAAAAGGGTGATCGATTTCGAGGTATATAGTTCGATATCATCTAATTGATGAAGATTTGATATGGATGTTGTGGTTATGCAAAGTTGTTGTATGATGTAGGGAGTGATCGGTGCATAATTACAAATCAATTTGTATCATTCTAACTTATGATTTGGTTATTTTTTTAAGTTAAACTTGTGCTTGTAATCTCTTTTATCTTTGTTTCAGTGTATTAAGCTTTGGAACTCATTTAATGCATTTTGGAGTCAAATTAGCTCAACAATTGTGTCCACAGATCAGCCAACTTCATGGATTAGACTGTACTTGCTTAGGAAGAATCAGATAATTAGCCATATATCATTGGAAAGATGCAGAAGTCTAGTTTCTGGAGCATTTTACGGTTCATGATTCCAAGTCTTCTAGAGGAAGTTATGCAAGTTTTGGCAGCTTAAGAACATCTCCAACTGATATGTCAAAAGTGTCACATAGACATTTAGTGACTAGAAATAACATCTCACATCACTCCAACCAAATTGTCAAAGATGATGCGGAATGAAGGCTGGAGGTTCAGCTATTACTTTTGACATCCCAAAAGCAAGATGTCAAATGAATATTTTATTATTTTTTAAAGACAGTTGGCTATTACTTTCATTTATTATTTTCCTTTTTTTTTCTTCTTTATCTTGAATGATTTGACTATTACAATAATTATTTATTTGACATATCGGGTGGAGTGTAAAACTGTTAACATGTCAAATTGCCACATTAGCCATCAAATTTAAATTTGATGTTTGGTATTTGACATCTCCCTTGGAGATGCTCTAAGGTCAAATTTGGTAGCATTTGCATTACTAGGCCAAAAATGACATTTGAAGGTCTTTCCAATTTTTTCTTGAGCTGGGCTGCATATGCTCGGAAAGATAAGACAAAGAGCTTCAAGATCCATATTTTTTCAGATTGGAGGAACAAGCCCAAAAGAAGACTACAATGCATTGTCATGCATGACGTATGCATGAGCTAATTGTTTGTGGTGGGATTTGTTAGTGGAGTTTTGTAGCAGTCAAAGGAAATAAAAGAAGATGAAGTGGGAGCTGTAACACTAAGCTCAAGACGAGGAATTGTTTTCAAATGCAATTGTGTGTTAGGAGAAGTGAGTGTGATTAGTGCACTCAATTGTATAATTAGATTTTTACGTCTTCTTGGCCTATAAATAGTGAGGTTCTCCAAGCTTGTAAACAAGCCCCAAGCGGGAGAGCTCTCATGCTGTTCCTTCTGTATTGGCTGAAAGATTCATTTTCCTAAATCGTTATTTATCAGTTTTGCTTGAGTACAAGCATTTGGTAGAAGCTCTCCATAATCACACTGATGTGGGGCTTGGTCCCATAGTTCTAGCACACCTGTATAAGAATCTCCATGACGCTACTTTGGACCATCCTCTGAATATCTCTGCTCCTGGCACGTTCTGGATTATCTAAATCTGGCTGCAGGTCTACTTCCCAGAATTGAGGTTTCCAGACATTGTTCTGCCTGAAGACCAGGTTATGGCTCTTCCCTTGATGTCAATAGAAGTGCCCAAGTGCTCCGTTGAAGAATATTTGATGTTCTTTAGGCACTGCATCAAGAGATCTGTTGCCCAGTGGCAAGTGGTGCTAAGAAGAAGCTATCCTTGGTTCCAGCCTACATACAGGCTTTTTGAGAAGGAGCCTAAGGATGAAGAGGCCAAAACTGACTTCAAGAAGAAGTTCCTGAGCGTGATGTTGATTCGGGACTTGCCTTTTGGTGGTGGCAAGCCTCCTAATTATCATTTGGGTGGAGATGTTTATCATCCCAACTTCTGTGCTAGGCGGTTTGGTTGTCCCCAGCTTATTGCACTGAAGTCTTACATAAGTTGAAATCGAGGTTCTTCTTGGAGAGATGCAAACGATTTGGACCTGCACAAGGATTGCAAATGTGCAGTGAACACGATTAACAGTAGTGTGGGTGCTCTCTACCCCTCTTGGGAGCTTAATTCTTGCAGTTCTGGCGAATTTGATGCTTAGTGGAAGGCTAGATTCGCTAGTCTGTCTGATGCAAGTACCGCCACGAAGATGCTTTTTGATGGCTGGGATGGTTGGACTGTCTATGCAGAACCAAATGCCAGGAAATTCATCGTGCAGATGCTTAAGGGTATAAATGCCCAAGTGATTGAAGGTAAATTTTTAATTCTGCCAGGAAATTCAAGGGTATAAATGCCAAGGAAATTTCTCCTCTCCCTTCCCTTATCTCCTTTCTCTTCTTCAAATTTCTCAAACACTTTCTTCTCCCTTCTCTAAAGTTCTCAAACACCTCTCATTTCTCTTCTTCTAAATTCTTCAAACACCTCTCTCTTCTCTTCCAAAATTCTCCACGTTCTCAAACACCTTTCCTTTTCTTCAACAAAGTCTCTAAGCTCTCAAACACTTCTCTCTTTTCTTCCTCAAATTCTTTTAGTTTCTTTAATGTTCTCAATTGTTGTACAAAACCCTTTTGCTTCTTAGTTGTAATTTATTTTTCTTTGTAATGTAAATTCTTTTCTTAAGTATTCAAGTTTGATTAGTTTCCAAGTTTCAATTACGGTTCTTGTTCTTATTCATTATGCCTTCTAAGTTAATATGCTAGTTTAAATAATTGATCACCATTAAGGCTTGCATGTTAGCTATCTTGGTTTGAATTAAGAGTAGACACCATGCTTTAATTCGAATTGAACTATGAATAGGAAGAGTATGTATGAAAATTCAACAACAAGGATTAGACGCATGCTTGGTTGTTTAAAACATTCTTCTATACTTAATGGATTTCTAATGCTTAGGTTAGACAACAAATGATCAAATTAGGGAATTAGGAATACAAGGTTAGGACCAAACACCATGGCTTAATCATACTTTAGCTAGAATCAATCCATGATTCTGAATTGAACTTAGGAACTTATTTGCTTGAGTTAGTTATTTTCTTTCTTCTTTGTTTTATGTTCTTTTGATTTCATTTCTATTTTGTGTAGGGAAACTGAATTGGATCATTCAATCACCAATCTCTATGGAATCGACCTTGCACTTACATATGCTAAACTACCAATGACTTGTGCACTTGCGAGTATCACAAGTTGAGGATGTAGCTGAATCCATTTCGGTGCAGCTGAATCGACGAAAACAGGGAAGTGCTGGATGCAAAGGTTTCGTATGGTGTGATGATGTTGACAACACAAAAGGGAGGAAAGATATCATCTTTAGTGACTTGCAACGGATGGAAAACAATGGTAGCAAGGACATGGTGTTTCAATCTATCCAGCTACAAGTCGGAGATGTTTTGAATCTACTTAAAGGAATAAAAGAGATGTTGTTGATCATTTGTATCTTGGTTGTTGTCAATGTGGTTTTCAATTTAGTTAAAAAATGAGGTACTTAGATGGTGCTTCAATTTGGATAAAGATGTGTTTTGGTTGTAATATTCTGCTAAGATGTTTTGGTTGTAACATTGTGATCAAAATTTGGGGAAAGACATGTCTCAAAGGTTGTAAATTTCTAGTCGTGAAATGAAAAATACTCTTATTTTGTTTGTTCTTTGACTCAAATGAAATGGAAACATACATATGGTGTAGTACACAAACCAATATACACATACTGTTGTACACAAACTTGGCAAGGGTTCACAAAATAAGCCAACATACGATGCCCTTAGAAGCAATATACACATGTTGCAGTACACATACTTTGCCATGATTCATAAAATAAGGTAAAATACAATATACACATGTTGTAGTACACAAACTTGGTCATGGTTCACAAAATAAGGCAAAACGCATATCTTGAATTATATCAGTCTACATCAAAAAATTCTCATCTCTTTAAAAATCAGGTCTTCTACTTCTTTGGAATAGGCATGCCTTGCTTTCTAATAGCTGCATTTCCTCGTGGTTTCTATGGAGTAGAAATTCCAATTTACCTCAGTCCAGTAGAAGCATATGCATTCTGACTTTGAGCATAAGCATGTGGAGGAATGGGTGACCTTATCGTAGCTGTAGCAGAAGTAGGTGTGATGAAATTTCCACCTCTAGGACCTGTGTGCATGGCGGTTTGGGCAGGTGGTGGTGGAGGAGTTTGCAATTATATAATAAGATGATAAGATAAATATTTAATGAGAAAAACATTAGTGAGCAAAATTTCATCAACATAAGTCATCAATATAGGCAAATGTCTTACTGCTCCAACATTGTAATATTTGCCTCCTTGTCTTCTTTGACTGCTGGGAATAGATTTTTTCCTCAACTGCAATAACACAACAACAACAAATTTTACATCTATACAGGTTGCAATAACACGGACAACAAAAAATTTCAGTAATTAATACAGAAAAATACTAAGCATGATTAACATTTGCAGCAGGTGGGGTTTTAGTTGCATATCTTTTGTCAAAATAAACTCCTTTGGGAGTGGGCCTTAGTTGATTTTTGCAACTCTCCTTGTTATGACCCTTCTCCCAGCATATTTGGCATGTGACTATACCAACTTTTCTTTTCAGCCTTACTTGCCCATGTTTTTTTATCTTTCTTTTCCATCTCTAGAACATTTATTACCCTCTTTTTCTTTGGCCTTCCAGGCTACTTTTTAACCATTGGAGGTAGTGATTGAACTTGAGTGGTCTTAGGTCACATGTGCATAGCTTTGACAGGTTCGTAAGCCCTCATATATGCCTCCTTGGTGTAGTATGGATCCACATATACCTTAGCATATTCCATATTTCAAAAAATTGCAGCAACAGTAAGGTGGCAAGGAAGGTTAGTGAGATCCTATCTATTGCAGCTGCACTTTCTTCTGCTAAAGTTGACAACATATTGATCATCTATTGACTCCCCTACTTGGAACAAGCCATTGTTGGAATTTTAAAAAGGTTTTAAAAATTTAACCGTTTTATTTATTTATTATTTGGCCGTTTTATTTTATTTATTGTAGGGGTTATAAATATTTAATTTTCAAGTTTTATTTCTACTTAATTTTCTAGTTTAATGTGGTGAAGGTTACATGTTATTGGATGCCTATAAAAGGTCACTCCTCCTTCACATTTGAACAACTGACAATACACCATCAGAATATCATATACCACATTCTAATTCTCTCCTTTTCTACTTTATATATATACTCTACTTTATATTATTATTTTGGGCAATGGTTATGTGACTTGGATACCTATATCCGTCTATAAATGTGCTCATAGCGGATCTTAAGTTTGTATACAAGAGGTTGTATCTTGGAGTCTTGTAGACTGCCAATACCTGCATATAGAGAGGTTACAAAGGCTTTAGGACAGTGTCTTTGACATGCTTCACCGTACCAAACTCACCTTCATACTTATTATTTATTTTTGCTTTTACTTACCTTCAATTTGTTTTCTTCAATTTCATTGTACCTTAAAATCTTTCCAATTTTTTTATATGTTATTTATAATATAAAGGTTTTTGGGACAAATTGGTTGCTCATGACTCCTGCACCTAATCATTTCCAACATGGTGAGGATGAGCTTATCCCTTGCTTGTTGTAATACCACGAAAAATTCAAGGTGGATTTTCATATTTGAGTGAAAAATAGTATTATGGTGGAGAATGATTATGGGTATTTTATCAAGTGATTTTGGATTGAGATTATTAAATTAAGTGTGTTTAATTTGAAGTTGGACAAACATGACCAAAATACCCTTATGTGTGGATAATTACCAAAATATCCTTGTAGGTCAAAAAAAAGAAAAAGAGAAGAAGAATATGAAACGTGGAGGGAATTAAACCATCCTCCTCTCATTCTTCCCCCATTGCCTCATTCCAAAGCTTCCATCATGAAGGGATGAGGATAAGTTACCTAGTCTAAGTGGTGAGTCACCTAGCCTAAGGGATTTTTCTTGATGAAGCTAAGAACTAGGGGAGGTGAGTTGCTGGTAGGAGGGAGAAGATAATGGGAAGAGAGAGAGAGAGAGAAAAGAAGAAAACTAAGAACAAGGAGAAAAATAATAGGAGGAAGAGAAGAAAAATTCTATAAGGTGAGTCAATTTCGAATTTGTGATTTTTAACTCGGTGTTTGTGTGTTTTTAGTTCCTTAAAGAGTATTTTGAGTAATTTGAGAGATGGGAAAATTGAATTGGAAGAGTTTGAACCTTTATTTTTAGGTTGGATGCATCGAGAAATTTTTCAAGTGTGGGTGTTGTTGATTTTGGTTTCGTCGAATTTGGTTGAATTTTGATGGGTCAAACACAGGTGCAAAGTTTGGAAAAAAATCTTTTTTTTGCAGAAAAAAATCTTTTTTTTGTAGAAAAACCAGCAACGAGTCCAACTTTGGAGCTACTTTTCTCCTTCGTTTTAGCTTCGTTTTGAGTGTTGTTTGTTGGTTAGAAACTAGAGAGAATAAACTTCAAATCCACTGCAAGTTTGCCCAGTTTCATTAACTTTAGGTTGGTCAAAATGTCTCACAAAGTTTGAGTTTTTAAACTGAAAAACAGGGGCCGTTGCAGGATTTTTGGGGAAGACGATGAGCAGTAACCGGAAACAAGCGCACTAACTGCTCCGACGCATGGTGGCTATTCCAGCAGCCTCCGACGCCATATTTTTAGTCCATTCGACTCGATTTCTCGATTTGAGTCCGATGGTATATGTTTTGAGTCAATCCGAGGTGGTGCAAAGTATGGATTGTTGTGGGGCCCACGAGTTTTGGTGTTGACAGGGCATAGGACAGAGTTATTTTGGACGAGGTTTGGCCGATTTGGACCCCGGGTTGGTCCTAGGGACATTTTCGTCATTTTCACTCAAAATCTTTGAAATGCATAAGGTTGAGGTTGGACTTAGGTGAAATAGAGTGAAGACTGCTCAATAATAATTTGAATTTGAATTTGTTTAGGAATTGGATCAGAAGGGTAGATTCGACAGCTCCAAGAATCTCCGAAGGGTAAATTTGGTACTTTAGCTAGCTGGACATGAGGTAGGGTTTCCTAATTTCCCAATGATAAGGCTATGTCACTTTTAATGTTGGTGCTTATATATAATATTATAAATATGAATATTATGGTTCCTTTACTCGGTGAATATTATTTGATGTTATGTGAATATTATTATTGATGTTTCTTCATGAATATTATTTTTTATGTTAGATGAATATTATTATTCATGAGATTAAGCCTGATATATATTATTGTTATTATTTGTAGTATTATTCTGCAAAGATAAATGAGGTTTGCACTGTATTACATATGCATCACAAAGACAGTAGTGTTTGGGGTGTGTGTGTGTGTCATTTGAGGTATATCTAAGGGGTGGGAGAAGGCCTTAGATATATCTTAGTAATAAAAATGTGGAATAAATTCAAGTGATGGGAGCAGGGCTTGAATATATTGAGATGATGGGAGCAAGGCCTCTAATGAAAAGTGAAAGTTGAGAAATTCGTAAACAAAAGATAAATGGGTTAAGGGACGGATGGGCGCTAGTTCATATTTTAGGGTATTCGGAGCCACAGTGGTACAACGCATGGTATGGGACATGCAGGCTTGTTGCCCTAAGATATGAATTAGTGGGATTAGAAGAGAGTGAGTTCATGGCATCACTGCATATGCAAATTTATTTATCTGGTATGGTTGCATGGCACTTTGATTAACTGTGATAGCTGACCTTGAGGGATTTGACAGTACTCTACTGGGCATTAGAATGCTCATACCCTAATAGATTGTGCAGTATTCAAAGTGAAGTTTGAGGAAGCGGGTTTCAACCAAGCTACTAGGCTTTTGTTGTTGATTTGTGTAATTAACATTTGTAAGTAGTCAATCGTTTGATAAAATTTTAGTGTGTATTTAACTACGAACTGCTGTGACTCTGATTCTGTGTTGTTAAGTAAATTTGTTTTATTTGTGGCTCTTTTTCTCATCGTATCATGGTTGTAGGATTTTATTCTTATGACTATGGTATGACTCACACCCTGATTCGAGAATATTCCTTATTTTCGAATTGGGTCGTGACACTTGCAGAATCCCAGAATTAAAACATTCACAGAGGTTATTCAATAACATATTACACTTAATCCTTGTAGTAAATTTATGCATAGCCCATTTGTTTATGTCCTTATTCCTCAACCAATCATATGCAGCTTCACCACTCTCTAATCCCTTCATCTTGTTCATCTCACACTCAAAATCAGCCACATTTGGTGTTCTAACAAATCTTTCAAAGCCCTTCCCCTATGAAATGTCTTGAAATTCCCATAAAAACGTCTGACACACCATTTATGTGCTGCTTCAGGCACAACTAAATCAAGCGCAACATCTAATCCCTACGATATTAAACTAAGAATATTAAATTAAGTATATTAAACTAAGCATATTAAACTCTAAAGATTAAATTAAGAATAAATAATAAAAACATTATTAAACTACCTTTTGTTGGTCTAAAATGAAAGTCCATTCATGTTCACTAACAGGACCCAAATCCTTAATAAGCAACTGAAGGAACCAACACCATGTGTTTTTTGGTCTCCAACTCAACCACAGTATAAGCAATTGGTACATATTGTCATTTGCATCAATACCTGCTGCCATAAGTAATTGCCCTACCATACACTAACATAGTTAGTGTAACATAGATTCACATGCTTTGGATAAGAAATTGCGCTATGATAATATAGTTATAATAAGAAAAACATAAGGAGATTCATACCTTGGAATGTGCCCTGCAAATGACACCCATCAACACCTATGATAGGTCTATTATAGCTAGAAAGTCCTTTTTCGCAGGCATCCAAACAAACATAAAGCCTTTGAAAATAAGGAGCTTCAATTTTCATCATCATAATGCTGCCCACATTAGTTTCCCTAACCTCTGCACAATACTCCCACAACTTAGAGTACTATGAAGCATAAGTACCCTCAATGATTTCAACAGCCTTCTGTCTAGCCCTACAACATATACTCAGATTGACCTCATACCTTATCTACCTCTTAATAAGAGCTTGGAATAACCTCAACCTCATATTGGGCTCATCTTTAATTCGATCAAGATATTTTTTAGCAAGAAAACGTGCAGTATCTTGAGGGTTGCTATTACTTCTGCTACACATGTGTCTCTGTCATGCTCTTAATTTGCAAAGTTCCATTTACCATGAACGAAGCCCATAGGTTCCACTTGCATTTCATACACTTTGCTTGCATCCTCTTCCTATCATTTTTAGTAACTTTCACCTCATACCCCTCATTGATAACATAATGTGAACTAGCTTATCTTAAACTCTTTCTTAGATGCAAATAACATGCTCACTTCAAATTGAGGATTCTCCATATTAGTCTTAGCATTAAACTCTGGATACCTTGGTCTTTATCCTTCATCATCAGAATTAGGTAGACTACCAAAGCCATCTGAGTTGTAATTCTCGTCAGGCAGAGTATCATTCATGTGACCTTGAGGTATAAATGGCTTTTCGTATTTCTTCTTCTTTTTTCAACATACACTAGAACCTTGGGAATTTGAACATTGTGCATAAACATATTATCATCCTCAAGAGCTGCATCATTTTCCTCATCATAAATTTCTTTGTCAAACTCATCACCATTGTTGTCATATACAGGAACACTATGAAGTGAAGCCTCACCACTAGCCTCAACAACATCATCTTCCTCATCATCATCAACATCAACAACTCAAAATAATCTGAATCATACATGGGTCCTTTCCCTTTAACAGCTTTACCCCCATCACTCACATGATTTTTACACTGTTTTTAACAAAATTCTCATATGCTTGACTTAAGCATTCATCTGTAATATCATTAGTGAATTGCTCATATTTTGTCTATTGTGATTGGTTGTAATTCTCCTTAATAATGTCAGGCACATCAACCTCATGATCTACATATACCATGATATGCAGATTGATACATATGACAAATAACATATCTAAAATTTCAGCATCTGAATTCAACCCTAATACCCCTTCATGCACTCCCTTACCAATAAAAGTGTAATAAAATCCTCTGCAATTTTGAATCTCACTTTGCTTCATAATATCCCTTAATTTTGTTGTAGAAAACCTATCTAGATCAATATTATCATAAACCTCTATTGTGCCTCCTCATAATCCTTCCCATTGTTCACAAATTTACCAGCATATTTTAACTCCATAATGAAGTGTTCATCATCTGAAAAAATTTACATATTTGGCATATAGTTAACAATAGTAGACATATTATATTTGGACAAAAAATAAAATAAAAACATCCATATTATAATCCTAAAGCACTACAAGACAACATTCTCTAAAAGCAACATCCTTTTTTCACCTTAAACTATTCATCCACCATGCTCAGTCCATTTAACACGTGATGAATACATATAAAGTACCACCACAACACACCAAAAACAACAATAAACCAACCACACAACAACAATAAAGTCATATATTAACTCAGAAATTCACCTGGATGAATTGGAGCTTTCTTTGGGTCCACACATTTGGAACCCACCATGTCTGCTTCTTCACAATAGTCCCTGACAGCAGTAGAGCCAAATCAAACCGAATTCAAACCCCAAATATCCCAAAAATTGTACGCTTCTTACTTGTGAATCTGAATCGAATCCTAAACCTCGAAATAGACCTGCCTTTTCACCACGTGCGTCTTAACTGACGGAATTCCCAATTGGACTTGATTGTTAATGATGCAAAATGTGATAACCAAAATCGAAGAATAAAAGTGCGATAACCAAAATTAAAATGCCAAACTCCAATGACCAAAATTGTAATTAACTCTAAAAAAAACACTAAATTATGTATCACATCAGTAGTAAATCGCTAGAAGAGTTGGAACTCACTTGTATTAGTGATAGTGATGTGATAGAAGAATTTGGTTCATTTAGCATAGGGAAATTTTTTGTTTTGCTTTTTTAAGTTGGTTCATTTAGCATTTACAACATCACAAAGATTGTTTAACCAAATTTGAAATTAATTTACAAAACTAAAAAGATATCCACATAACACATAGATTCAATTGTTCTCATCAAAGCTTTTGATGAAAAAATGAAGCTTCATCTAAATTAATGGATTTTCAATCTTGCTCATGTAATGTGAGTTAAAAATTAAATTGAATTTGTTTTTCAAAGAACATTAAATTAATTTAGGGAAAGTTCTTCGGTAAAATGGTATTAGTGTGGCTCCTATACAAGACTTTCTGCCATGTTAGGAATATTCCTAATTTTGTTGTCTATATTTGTCTAGTGTAATTGCAATCAGGCCAATTGATTAAGGCAATGAGTCTATATAATTGCAATCAGACCAGTTGATTAAGGCAGTTAGTCTTGCTAAAATATGAATATGGTTTGAATGTATTAGGTTTTGTTTTATTCTTCTCCATAAGGAGAGATATATATATATATATATATAGGAGTTTACATAAGGGTCTTACAAGGAATTAGATATAGTAAATAATTAGGAAAGTATCTCCTAATTGTACAATGATTTATCACTTATATAAAAAATAGGAAAGTAAATCCTTTAATTAATCAAGAAAGTAAATCTCCTTGATTAATTAGGAGACTCACGTCAACACTCCTTCTCAAGTTGGTGCATATATGTCACCAATGCCTAACTTGGTAAATGAGTCATGAAATACTCTTCCACAAACAACTTTGGTTAAGATATCTGCCAGTTGATCTTCTCATTCACAATAATTCACAAACTCCGTGAGCCATTCCTAGATACTCTGCACTAGACCGAGAAACCGCATTTTGCTTTTTACTCCGCTAAGTGACTAGGTTACCTCCTACAAATGTAAAGTAACATGAAGTATAGTGTCTATCTGTAATAGAACCAGCCCAATCAGCATCTGTGTATCCAACAACTTCAAGATCTCCATTTTTTGAGAACATTAATCCTTTCATAAGGGCTGACTTTAAGTAACTTAAGATCCGATCAACTGCATTCCTTTGGTGGTGGTGATAGAAGCAAGAGTCTAGGTAACTAGGTCAGCAGGATTGACCGCATGCTTCTGTGAGTCTACAATAAGATGGAGAATCATATGGGTTCCTGACATCTCAGCGGAAGTAAGATGTGATATGAGAAGGTGAGGAAGGTGATGTGAGAAATTTGATGTATGAATTGGATTTAAGAGGTATGTGTATAAGATTTGAGAGTATGTATTTAGGGATTTGGATAAAAGGATTTGAGGACTTTAGATTTGATGGATTTGGATTTGGGGGAAAATATGAGGAATTTGATGTAGGAATTGGATTTAAGAGGTATGTGTATAAGATTTGAGAGTATGTGTTTAGGGATTTGGATAAGAGGATTTGAGGGATTTGGATTTGGGGACAAATACAAGGAATTTGATTTAGGGTTTTGGATTTGAATATGAGAAATTTGAGATAAGGGTTCAGAGACAAAACAACTTCTCTTCACTCCCCCTCTCCCTCTAAAGAGAAGGGGTCGTCAGAGTAAAGAGATATGCAATATCTTCATGGGAATACATCAAGGTAATGGGGATACATCAATAAATATATCATTTCACTCCCCCCTCTCCCCCCCCCCCCCCCCTGAAGAGGAGGGGAGGAGAGAACTTGGCTCTGATACCATGCTAAAATATGAATATGGTTTGAATGTATTAGGTTTTGTTTTATTCTTCTCCATAAGGAGATATATATATAAGAGTTTACATGAGGGTCTTACAAGGAATTAGATATAATAAAGAATTAGGAAAGTATCTCCTAATTGTACAACGATTTATCACTTATATAAAAATAGGAAAGTAAATCCCTTAATTAATCAAGGAAGTAAATCTCCTTGATAATTAGGAGACTCACGTCAACAAGTCTGTCGCCTTACACTAAGTTTGAGTAGTCTTAGACTATCGCTTATATAAAGAATAAATAAAAAATTTGACCTTAAATTGGCATTTTATAATAAACAATAGTCTTTGGACCAAAGTATTTTGGACGCATATTAAGGTAGGAAAACAATGAACATTGATTTATCACTATATAAAAAATAGGAAAGTAAATCCCTTTATTAATCAAGGAAGTAAATCTCCTTGATTAATTAGGAGACTCACGTCAACAAGTCTGTCGCCTTACACTAAGTTTGAGTAGTCTTAGACTATCGCTTATATAAAAGAATAAATAAAAAAATTTGACCTTAAATTGGCATTTATATAATAATAACAATAGTCCTTTGGACCAAAGTATTTTGGGAGGCATATTAAGGGTAGGAAATTCCAATGAACATTGGAAAAAAAAAAAAAAAAAAAAAAAAAAAAAAAGATAAAGTTAAAAGTGACCTTTTTAGCAGAACAAAATAACTAGCCGTTGGAGATAAAGGAAAGGAAGGTTAGGATAAAGAAGGCGGCCACACCGTCATTGCAACGTTCGAAAATTTTGAATACCAACCGAACACCATTTATCCGACGTCGTTTAGGTTACGCTCACAACGTTTTAAACCACACTTTCGAGCCCTTCTCCCACATCTCATCTCTGTCTCTCTCTAAAGTTCTCAGAAAAAGGGAAAGAAGGAAAACCCTTCTCTCTCTCTCTTCTCTCAAAAGCTCACTGTGTTTTGAATCCTTGGGTTTCTCTCGTTTTGATTTGGGTTTTTGAATCTAAATCTCTGTGTTTCCAAAACAAAGAGAAAAAGAAGATAAAGGATATGGCTGCTGTGAACCAAGACAACACTCTAGTAGTGGCCACAACCACTGCTCCCTCAAACTCAAAGCAATCTCAGCCGCGAGCAAAGACCGTTGATTCTCAGTCTGTTCTCAAAAGGTACATTTTCATCTTACTTGACTTAATTTGTAATGGGCTTCTCTTCTTTGGGTTTTGCAGACTTCGGTTTCTGGGTTTTGAATTTTTTTTTCTTTCTTGGTTATTAGAATTTCTGGGTTTTGTTTTCTTACCCCAGATTTTCACCTTTTCGATTTAAAGAAAACCAGCTTCTTTTGTCTGGGGATTCTATTTCTCAGATAAGTTATTTGAATAGATTCCCTTTACTTTCATTTAGTTTCTTTGTTTCTTCTGATAATTAGAGGTTTTCAAGGTTTCTTGGTTATGAATCTTTCTGGGTTTTGTTTTCTTTTTTATTTGGGATTCTTTCTGAGATCAGCTATTTGTATACATATCCTGTAGATTCATTAAATTTCTTTTGTTTCTGTTGATAATTGGTGGTATACAATGTTTCTAACCTTGTTGTTTTCTTGTGTTTTTAATTGCTTGCTGAACAGGCTGCAATCTGAGTTGATGGCCTTAATGGTAAGACACCAAGACTCGTTCTTTTCTCTTTGTTTCTTGTTTAGATCCTGAAAATCCTGATTAAAAGAAACCAAATCATGTTGATTAAATGAAACCAAAGCATATTTGCTCAGAAATCCCATGTCTCAGTTGAGTCCCAATTCTTTCCAATAATTTTGTTAGGGTTATTTGGTTACTGGGTTTTGCCTAATAATTTGTTTTCTCTTCAATATTGAATTATAGATGAGTGGGGATTCTGGGATATCTGCCTTTCCTGAAGAAGACAACATATTCTGCTGGAAAGGGACAATCATTGGAAGCAAAGATACAGTGTTTGAAGGGACAGAATACAGACTATCCCTTACCTTCCCCAATGACTATCCATTCAAACCTCCAAAGGTCAAGTTTGAGACTCTCTGCTTTCATCCCAATGTGGATCTGGTTGGCAACATTTGCTTGGATATTCTTCAGGTACTTGTAGTTTCAAAATGTCATTTGAAAAGTCCAATAGACAAGCTACCAAACTTTTTACATATAATGTAAATTTTCCTTTGAATTAATTGCAGGATAAATGGTCATCTGCTTATGATGTGAGAACCATACTCTTATCCATCCAGAGTCTGCTTGGAGGTAATCACTTTCTCTGCTGAACCATGGAACTATAAGCATTTCTTCAAGGTCTTGAATACTTGCGGAATTTTGATTTTGTTTATTTCAATTGCAGAACCAAACATCAGCTCACCTTTGAACAACCAAGCAGCACAACTTTGGAGCAATCAAGATGGTAAATACTGGGTTTCCTTTTGCTTATTTGTTTTACTTAAGTCTGCTAAATTTTTGTTATAATGAGAAGTGTCTGAGTAATGCTTCGTCCGTCTCTTGCAGATTATAGGAAGATGGTGGAGAAGTTGTACAAATCTCCAAAAGCTTAATTGAGATGACAATATAATTTCTCAGATTAGGAGTTGAGCGATTGTAGAAGAAGAAGCCTCTCTAATTTGGATGAGAGGATGGATTGTGTTTTTCTTTCAGAATGTTCCATTAATTCCTTGATTTGTTCTTGTTGTGTTCTCTGTTTACAGATGAGATGTTTCATAGTCATTGTTAATTGAAGGATGTAGACAATTGTCGTCAAAATTCAATGTTAAAGATTCTCTTTCTCCCTAAACTAATACTTGACAAGCCGAAATTCTCAGTCTTGCAAATCCTGCACCAGAGAAGCAATGGAAAACGGAATCTTAAAGAGTTTGCAGTCTTAGTCTTAGGGCACAAATAAGAATGAAACTAATATTCAAATCACATCTCTCTACGGGTGTGGCTCCAGATGTGTGATTCAAATAATTTAAAGGGTTAATGACCTAAATGGTCCCCCAACTATCGCTCGATTATCATTTTGGTCCATAAACTAAAATTTTCAATTCAAACGTCCAAAATCGTCATTCCGTGACAGATTCCGTCACTTTCGATCACGCGATGGCCAAATGACTGAGTTTTGAAGGGTATATGCGACTTTTTGAGAAGCCCTATTGCTTAGAACCAAAATCCCTCCAAAATACGTCCACTTTTTGAGAAGCCTCTCATTATCCCGCGAAAACCATCGAGTGAAAAGGATTCTAATGCGAGTTGCTGAATTGGTCGATGCTGTAGTAGTGTGCGAGTCGCTGAATTGGTGAAGTTAGTGTGTAATTTCAGTGTTAGTTTTGGAGTTCGAATTTGGGAGTTTGGGTTAGGGTTTTGATTTGGGGATTTTGGGAAATTCACTAGTTGCTAATAATGGAGTACGAATTCCTCGGGTGGAAAGACTCCCAAATACGGTAAGGGCTTCTATAATGCATTTTATGTTGTTTTTGTTGGAAATGGATGAAATGGATGAGTTGTCCTTGTCTGGAACTGTGATTTCTGTATAAAGATTCCTTTTTATGTGTTTGTGTTCGGCTTTTTTGTTGTTTTATGTTTAAAGTAAGGGTAAATGAATCGTTTTCTTGTATGTGGATGTGGATTTGGCTTTTGGTACATTGACTGTAGAGTGTAAGCTTTATGTCTGTGGTCCCTTGGTTGTGGTTCTTGTATGTTGAATATGGTGTTTTTTTAAACGGTTGTGGTCCCTTGGTTGTCTGGTCCCTTGGTTTATGGCTGTGGTCCCTTAGCATTAACAACAAAACTATGCCTTTAGAATAACATATTGTTGTTTCAATTTTGCATCTAACAATGGAATGTGCACTCTAGAATTACATCATGGGGGCTGGTTTGAAAATGGGGTTTATAAGAAGGGTAAGGTTTGTTATTTGGACAATATTATAGAGGATTTTCTGTCCTTGTTAGATTTACTAAAATTGGGAGAGGTCTTGGGTATGAGGTTGACATTTCTCAAGTTAAGCAACGTTTGGAAATTAGGTGTAAAAATCCTGAGGGTGGACTGGAGCTTGTTACATCGGATGCTACAGTGGTTGAAATGGTTGGTCACATACCATCCAATAAGGTTATTGTGTTATACTATAGTGAGATTGAAGACCATGAGTATGATGCAGATGTAGAGAATTGTGATGGGGATTTGACTCAGAATTACCAAGTAAACGAGGTGGATTATATTGAAGTTGAAGATGAGGAGACTTTTGAGAATGTTGGGACAAAAGTGGCAAATGAAGATGCTGTCAAAGAGGTACCAAATGAAGATGCAGGGGCAGAGTTACCAAATGAAGATATAGGGGCACATTTCACTATTGATAATGAAGGGGCAGAATTGCCAAATGAAGATATAGGGTCACATGTGACAATTGATAATGAAGGGGCAGAATTGCCAAATGAAGATGAAGATGCAGATTTAGAAATTAAAGACAGTGATTATGAGTTCAGTGAAAATGAGGCAGAGGATAGGCCAACTGTTAGAGAGAATGTAGTAGATGAGGGGACTAGTCATGGTGCTCCAGGAGAGGTGTCATCAGATGGTGCTGACACGTCAGAATTTGACAATGGAAGTGAGACTGATTCTGAGGGTAATGGTAGAAAAAAGATAAAACTGCCAAAGTTTAAGCAGTATAGAAGAGATGTGGATTTGAAAAGGGACTTGTACCTGCCATTGAGAGACAAACAAAAGGGACTTGTACCTGCCATTGAGAGAGTACTTCCAACTGCAGAGCACAGGATGTGTGTGAGACACCTGTACAGTAACTTTAGGGCATCACATATTGGTCTTGCTCTGAAACATATATTATGGGCTGCAGCAAGAGCTACAACTGTGCCTTGGTGGGAGGCAGAAATGGAGAAGATGAAAAATGAGGATGAGGAAGCATGGAAGTGGTTGAAGAAGAGACCTGCAAGAAATTGGAGCAGATCTCACTTTGGATCACATTTTAAATGTGATCTTTTGTTGAATAATCCATGTGAAAGTTTCAATGCAACCATACTAGATGCAAGGGATAAGACAATTTTGAGTTGCTTGGAGAGGATAAAGGTGTATGTGATGCTTAGGATGGCTAGTAGAAGGTCTGCATGTCAAAATTGGAGATACTCTGTTGGGCCTAGGATCTTCAAGATAATTGAGAAAAACAAGCTAGGTTCATCACAATGCATTCCTAGATTGGCTGGTGAGAAATTGTATCAAGTGAGCCACATTTATGGTGGAGAATTTGTTGTAGACCTTAAAGCAAAGACATGCTCTTGTGGGAGGTGGAATTTATGTGGAATACCATGTCCCCATGCAATCTCAGCAATATTTCAAAGATGTGAAAACCCAATTGCTTATGTGGATGATTGTTATAAGGTGGAGACTTATATGAAGGCTTATGAACCAGTGATTCACCCAATCCCTTCAATGGACCAATGGAGTAAATGTGGCCTTCCTCCAATTAAACCTCCACTTTATAAGCAACAACGGGTAGGCCTAAAAGAGTTAGAACAAAGGAGCCTGGTGAGGTTGAAATACCAGCCCCCATCCCACCAAACCCTATGCCTCCAAATTATATTGCCCCACCAGTCAAGCTTAGAAGGGTTTTCATTGAAATAAGATGTCGTGGATGCAGTCAAAAAGGCCATAATATAGCAACATGTGACAGACAAAACAATGAAACCCAACAGGTATGACTGTTAGGCACCTTGTTTAGTTCTATGTTATGGCATACTTACATTAATAATTTTGTTATACATTTGCAGGTTCATGCATCTTCAACCCAAATGGAGCAAGGTTCTTCTTCTAACACAGTAAAAGGGAGAGGCATAAGTAGAGGAAGAGGAAATGTTGCTCAAGCTACTGCTGATCCTAATTCTCTACAAAGTGTAAGCTTTGGTTGTTCTTGTGGTTTTAAATTGCAAAAGTCATTAAGAAGCTGAAATCATTTATTTTTTTAGATGGCAAGAGGTAATAGAGAAGGAGGCAGAGGCATAAGTAGAGGAAGAGGCAATGTTGCTCAAGCCCCTGTTTACCCAAATTCACAAGAAAGTGTACGCTTTATTTTCTCATTTTTTTTCAATTTTTTATTGCTTATGTCATTGGAAAACAATAAAGATCAGTAACTTTTCCAGGTGACAAGAGGTAATGGACAAGGAGTCTTACCATCTTCACATATTGGCTTAGGAAGAGGTCTATCATCTTCAAAACTAAGTGCAATTAGAGGAAGAGGCTTACCATCTTCACGATCAAGTATAGGTTTTTGTCATTTGGTTCATTTCTTACTCATTTCACTAATTGCCAATTTTCAACTGTTATACACCTGACATTACTACATTGTTTAGGTGGCAAGAGGAAGGGGACAAGGAGGACCAGCTTTGGACAACATTTCCCATGATAATAACATGGCCTCAATATAGGGGAAATTATTGCTAAGGTTGTCCTATTTTGTGTATTTTGGGGATATGTAATTTTCTGGCCAGAGGGATTTTGTGACAAAAGGGACTGATTCTGACTTTTGACTGTGTAATTGGTTTGAGTTTGAAGGGCTAAAACTCTGTAATTGCTTGGCTATTTTAGGATAGGTACTTTTCTGGGCAGGAGGATTTTGTGTAGTTTGTGTAATTGGTTGTCTGTTTTGGCTTATGTACTTTGCTGGGTAGGTGCATTTTGTAATTGGAATTCTGTAATGCTGTAACTGGTCTTCAGTTTCCTAGGCTCAAACTCTATAATTGGAATTTGAATGTTTATATGGATGTTCATTTTGTAAATTGCCTGTGGTCAACAATGGAATGGCTTTTACTTTGTTGTACTCAATGGAATGGCATCTCCCATATATTCAAATAAACTAAATTCAAGAACATTTCAGAACACTAATGCACTTCAAGGGACACTAATGCACATTTCAAAACACTATGGCATCTCCCATGTATTCAAATAACCTCAATTCAAGAAAATTTCAGAACACTAATGCACATTCAAGGGACACTAATGCACATTTCAAAACACTAAAGCACATTTCAAAACACTAATGCACATTTCAGAACCATTACATTCAAAAGGAACAAACCCCATAACAATTACAACTTCTCACTCATCAGAAAATGTTATAAACAAACCCCAAGACAAAATCAAGGAAACCCACATTATCAATTGTCTTTGTCCAGACCCCATTCCAAAACCTTTTTTCCTGAACCATTTCTTTCAATTTCTGTTGCAGTTCTTTCTTTTTTGCTTCCACAGCTCTCAATTGTTCTTCCTTTGCTCTACCTTCCTCCTCCATTGCTCTAAGTCTTCTAAGCAAAACCAGGGACCACTTGTTTTCCTCTTGGACAAGTTTCATTATCCACCCACTCGAAATAATGTATACCTCTTCTGCTATTCTGACAAATCAAATCTTACCCAATTTCAGACCTCATCAACCAATTACAAATGGAAAAGAACAACTTTTGCAACCCAAATAATAACTTACCCAATTTTTATCACGAGCATCAAACCTTCTTCCTGGGTTCAAATCTATCCACGAAGTCCGACGAATTATCTTCGTCCCACAGGCGCAAGTACCGACTTGTCCCACTTGATGTCGTTGAAATCTCCGACATTGCAAACCTAGGGTTCTAATTTGGGGGTTTTTGGTGGAGCTTCTAACAGAAATAGGAGGGAATGCGATGCTATAGTGGACAAGTCGTTTTAGAAGAGGATACCCACCTCAAAATACAGTTTTGTCCCTCGATTTAAAGGAATAATACACAGACTTTGACGGAAGGACGATTTTGGTACAATATAAAAAGTTTAAGGACGTTTGAATTGAAAATTTTAGTTTATGAACCAAAATGATAATTGAGCGATAATTGGGGGGACCATTTAGGTCATTAACCCTAATTTAAATGAGAAATATTGAGCAGCCCACGACCTATATTGTGAAAAAGACTCCCTTCTCGATTTTATTTTTAAAATTAATGATCAATATTCTCTTACATTTTCATCATTTAACATAATAAAATAATTTTAAAAAAATTTACTTTTAATTTGGTGTTTTAGTGATTGAGTGGTTGTCTTTGATTGTATTTCATTGATGAAAATGCCTCTGAGAATATCTGTCTTTTCTCCCTTTCTTGTGCCTCTGAAAAAGCCTCTGGGTATGTATTATAGGGTTTTTTTTTCCCCATTGTGACGACATCCATTTGAAACTCAATTATAAAGTCTATCCATTGCATTGTAATTTGTAGCATAAGACTATGGGGCAACTTGTTGCATGAATTTTTCTACTTTCTCATTGTTGATGCTCAAAAATAGATGGTCAAGATTGAGTCCAATTTAGAGACCAAGTGTGATAGATGATGGGTGAATGTGAGGACCTTCAAATCATGTATGTGAAGATTTGGGCAAGCGATAAATATACAGAAGACGAGATATACGTGGTTTACTCTTAATGAATGGGCTTCGTTCACGTAGAAAGTATATTCTCATTCTTATAATAATGTGTATTTACATTTGTACAAGGGGTTTGGCCCAAATATAAAGGGAAGAAGGGAGAAGTCCATGACTATTGATCAAGCCCAACCTAGGGATCCTTTACTAAGTAGAGAGCGGTTTCATTTTATATGTGAGGGAGAGTCTTCACTTCTTGTAATATTTCAATGTGGGACTCTTTGCCTTTGCTTAGAGTTGTTTCTAATTGCTAGTCATATATGGTATAAACACTCATCATTTTTATTTATTTTTATGCGGCTACTTTCTCATCATTGTATGCATGTGTGTGTTGCTTTCTCGAAAAAGTTTCTTAACTGTTATGATCTTCATTTCAAAAGAGTCCACATAGAACTCAACCTATGACTCTGCTCTTGGTGTTTACTTGGCTGAATATTGTACTAGTTTCAACCACTGCTCCAGTCTATGATTTCATTTGCTTCCTTCCCTACTCGGAAACAAGAGTAAGTTTTCTGGTAACCCATTATTTGTTAAGAAAATTATATTCCAGAAAGGAAAATAAAATAAAATAAAGGTATAAACTTGGTAGAGAACTTTCTTTAGGCTCGTTTGGGAGGGGGGGGGGGGGGGGGGGGAAACTTTCTTTAGGCTGGCCACACACTTGCAAGATGCATCTTAAAACTAAGCTTGACCAATTCTTTACTTGATGTTATTATATGCAATCATAAACTGAGTAAAATTGGGCAATGGTTAGGAAACAAAGGCCAAGTGTAGAAAATGAGTCGTTGAGTATTTAAAAGTGGCCCATCAAGTTTTCCCAAAATAAGATTATTATCCTGATGAAGATTGGACAAAGTAAAAGGAAGCCTACAGAAGTCGAGATGAACAATTTCCTTGATTGAGCATGTCAATGAAGTCCAGTGCTTTGATATCAAGCACACACCCCCTACATGGCCATTTTTGTTGAGGCCATGTATTTAGCATGCTTCTGATGTTTCTCTGACCTCTACTAGCCAATTTATATGAGCACATATCGTATTATACCCATATGTATGTATTTTTTCAAAAATACTTCCATTTTTCGTACACGTTTGAAAGAATCAGTAAAATACACGTTTTTAAAAATCAAATGTATTATACACGTATGTATTCTTCATGTTTAATGCACGTGTTTTGTTTCAAATTTAATCATACATACAAAATTGACATATTATACACGTATTTTTCATATATTATTGAAGAAAAATAATATATATTATAAATTGTAAATAAATTATATTAAAATATTATGAGTGCAACTATTTCCACCCATATTAGGATTACAAAGGGTAAATTTGTCTTTAAAATTTTCAAAATAAGGTAGATGAGGAAATAGGAGAGGGGGTGGAAATAGGACAGTGACTAAACTTTTCATTTGTTCTTTTCACAAATTTTCCCGAATAAAACACGTGCTATTTTATTTGTACTTTTCCCTTCTATATACAAGGGGGAGGGGGCTTATCACAAACTCACTACCATGGGAGTTCAAACTTGAGACCACTAGTGTTGTCGAATTTTAGGTCAATTAGATACAATCTATTTGTACCTAGCACAGAAACTTTAAATCTTTCTCAAGAAGCGGCAGAGCAAGATTTATGGCCAAGTAGAGCAGAAAATAGAGCCAACATTATATGTTTGGGGTCCTTTTGACAGCGCTTAGCAGAAAAAACTTGAAAGTGCTTCTAGATCATAAAAAGTGCTTTTCTATGCTTCTCCACAAATGACTTCCAAGTGCTTCTCCGAAAAAACCTTTGGACTTTCAACAAATTTTTTTGATGTTCTAATAGAAGTGTTTCTTTAAAAAACGCTTATAAATGGAATTAGATGAAGCACTTGGATTTCCAATTAACGTTATTTGATGTTCTACTAATAAAGGGTTTCTGAAAAAGCACTTATAAATAGTTGTTCTTCCTACAGAAGCTTGGTGCATACAACCATTACGATGAACCAAAGAGGGTCAAAATAATCGAAAAAATCACATTTCTAAAACTGTGTAACCATTACGATTAACATGGATCTAAAATCTCAAATACCATATGAAACCAACAAGTAGCATGCATCTAAACTAATCGGTGTCACACAAACTTCTCTCAGTATGCTCTTATTTCGTAAACCCAGATTCTTTCTTTGATTCAGTTATCAGATTGATTGGGTCGAAAGCCTACATATTATGTTTGATGATGTCAGCTGCCTTAAGTTGAGATGGACAAATTCCTTTATCTCCAAGCTCCACTGTAGGTACAAATTCCTATGGCTTTGGTGATGTGAGCTGCCTCAAGTTGTATTTGGCCAACTCCTTGTACTTGTCAACAACACCGATCAAGCAAATAGTCTGTCAATCAAAACAAAATTAGGTTTTGACTTTATCAGAGGCAACAAGAAGGATCCTATATATAATTAACCACCAGCCTAAAGACAAGCAACTTTTTATGATAATGCTTCTTTCATGCATGTCTATATTTCAAGGTCAATGCACAATGTACTGTACCCATTACTTTGCAGGGGGGTATATCTGAACATCAGTACAATAGACTCTAGATGGGAACTAACTATTAACCAAATACACACAAAAGATAGAGATGATAGGATGAACAGTGACACCGAGTATATAAAAGTGAAAAGTAAAATGGAAAACACCGAGTATCGCACTTGGTGTGAAGATCATTAACAAGAGAAAATGAATTTCTTGGTGGCAGAAAGGACTTACAGGAAAGAAAAAATAAATCCAAAGACCCGTTGAGACCCATCAAGAGACACAATGAATTGGAAAATGGTGACGGAAGAGAAACATGCGCATATTTTCAGCTTTGAAAGGAAAAGAAACTTTCTCACCTTCACAATTTCAACAACAATGGTCTTATCGGATTGTTAAGGTCAACTTTGTGAGGCCCAGGCACGGCTTTTGCCACTGCATTTATGGTTTTCATCCTGTCAATACCAGTATTTGCACGGGCTTCATACAGGACTGCATACTGAATGGAAGTGTAGAAAAATCAGAAAGCATCCTAAGATATCTGATAGATTAAAGTTCTGTTTATGTGGGTCAAACAAACTCATAACCTTATAACAATAATGTAAGTAAAATAATAAAAAACAAAAAAACACAAAAAAAAAAGGAGAGAAAACATGTCAAAAATATAGAAAAGCTCATCATATTTTTCCACTTCATTAACAAATCGTTGCTGGCTACATTAAGAAGTAGATACAGCTTTTTCATCACAGACTAGTAAGTTGCAAGTCTTTGTGTCATATCACTTAAGGTAGTTTTTAAAACTAAATGAAAATTGATTTTTCATGAAAAGAGAGATGTGAATTTCTTTTTGGTTAATAAGAAGACGAGATGAGGATTGATGACTTATATTACCTTCTGAGGATTCTGAGTTTCCACTGGAAAGTGTTGTGCAAGAAGTGGTTTGATTGCTCTTGTAATATCCTCTTCAGAAGAATAGCACGCTACTTCAATAGGCAATACTCTTAAGATAAACCTATATTATGCAAGTGTAAACACCCAGTTTGAGATGTTCTCCATACGCGTTCTTTGTATAAATAACCTAACAAGAAATATACGAACCTGGACATGTGTCTCCTGGTTGCAGCAGCAGATGCCATCATATGCTGCACTATATCCTTTGGGCTAGGATCTCCATCTCTCTTCCGCATTTGGACAAAGACAACACCATTGCAACCAGAATCAAGGCTGATAAAGCGCCTCTGTAAAATAATCCAACATTGGGATGAGGAAAAAATCATGAAAGCAGACACCATTCCCTTTAAACCGGTGGCAAGGGGAGTTGAATCAACCATATAGCATACTCACCAAGATATCAGAAGAAATATGCTAATAAAATTAATGAAAACACAATGCAACCACATCTGTAACCAACTCAAAACCACCCAAGAGTTCAAATACACTGATCACATTGATAAATGACACAGAGCCTTGGCCAAGTATATTTACTAGCATTGATAAAACTATTCACCAAGTTGATTCAATAAAACTTGTTACTCTGACCATTAGACTGCTTAGGTGATATTCTGATGCCAGCTTTACCCTTCATTGTCATAAATACTTTGTCTTATGGACTTAACAATTAGAACAGGTCACTCTCACACAAGAAACAACCAAAAGTCCAACGCAAAAAAAATTAAGCTAAAGCCAATTTTGTGAAAAAGATGGGAAGAAACGTGACAGAAGCCCTGGAAAAAAAAAGAAAAAAAGAAAAAGAAAGCATCACCAACCTGGCAGAAAACAGAACAATAACCAATGCCAAACTAGAATAGAGAAGTCAAGAAAGAGCAACTAAATCCATGTTTAAAAGAAAAAGTCATGAAATGTTGAAGAAACCAAAGTTGTCCCATAAGCAGTCATCCAACCTTGCCTCAACAAAGTTAAGCGGCCCCTTTCCATCCATACCACTCAAAAATTCACAATCATAATGCATCTCCAGAAATGCTTTGCCTTCTCCCACCACCAAAAGCACAAAAAACTCTCTCTACAAGTGAAGAGATACAGGAGGAGGGTCCCAACTAAAACTAGCCAGGAAAAGATTATGCCACAAATGGGGGAAATGAAGGAAGCAATGGTCATACTAACTAAAGATAATGAACAATAAAAATTCAGTATGCCAAAGTTATTACTGAAAAATCAGGGTCGTGGGATGAAAATTTGGCAGGTTGGATGGTAAGATATTCTAGGGACAGAACAGTACTCCTTAGATATTAAATTCAATAAATCAAGTACACACATGCTCTTATAAAGCCCAAACCTAAACTTAGAGAAATTTCCAGTACCCATTCAAAAACCTGGGAAAATGAAGGAAGAGATGGTAATACTAACTAAAGATTGAGACAGAACAGAACTCCTTAGACATTAATTTCAATTAATTAAGTCTAAATGGTGTTCAAATGCATGCCCTTAAAAGGACCCAAACCTTAATCTAGAGAAATTTCCAGTACCCATTCATAAACCTGGGTGGGTTAGCAAGTTCTGGTAGGAAATTCCATCCCTTCTCTGGTATTGCTTTTAAAGAGAAAATTAAAAGTATTTGGTACTGAATCAATAGAGAAAAAGGAAAGTATAAAAATTATTCAAACAAGTACCACTCAAACTGATACTTTACACTTGGGTATTCAAATTTGTAACAAAACCAATCACAAACACAATCCTAATGCAAATAGTGAAACAAATTGAAATATTATAGAGTTCATTAATCCTGGTCAATTTTCATCATGATAATCAATTCATTTGAAAATTAAGCATTTGCAAAGCAGATATTGACATAATCAACTGTGGTTCATTTAACAAATTGTCAAAATTTAATTTTTTAAAACAAATTTATAACTTTAACCCATATTGAAAGTTAGCATTAAGATCTCAAAGCCCTAAAAATAAGGCAAGTTTCCTGACCTTGGTAATGGATAAAATAATGATGTCAATGTCATGGCCACAGAAAGTAACACTAAAGTGTATCCAGTCCAAAGGTCTGTTCAAATATTTCTTTTTGTGATTATGATTGCACATGTTACATGCACGAAAGAATAGAAAGCCATCTTTCTTCCCTTGACACAGTTTGGAATACCATGGTACCCACAATGGTTTTCATTGTCCTGTTTTTTCTTTTCAGATCAATGTAAATAACATTCAAAATTATTCTAAGCAAATGTTATCTAATTATAACTTGGAGGACCATCATGCTTTGCATATTCTAAAGACATATTGAGTGACACAAAAATGCAAAGAAGCAAGTGAAATTGATACCTCTTGTGAAGATAAACTTTGACAGAGAAATGTTTGTGTGCATACAAGACAGTGGAAAACGACAAAGGTATTGGCCACACAAAAAACAAATATCTAAACACGACAACAGGGTAGTGCATGACATATGCACTTGCAGAAAGCAAATAGATGTGTTAAACATAAAACAGTAATTGCAAATTAAAGATACACATTGAATTGTTGAAGAAAAAAAACCTATCATATGCCAGTGTAATGCAAAACAAAATGACAAGTAGGTAAACAGAATAAGTCATAATCACTCCAACCACGAGCTAAATAACCTTAACCAGTAGAGGGGACACGATGCAATCAAAACTCTAAAAAAGCAGAATGCTTGCTAGCTAAATTTCTAATTCAGACAGAATGAGGTTTGGCATCCACACAAACTTTTCTTTGTTTTGGTCAATTTATCCACACAATCTTGATTCAAAGGAAAAGGAACATAACACAAACACACACAAGCATGCACAATCTAATCATATATTTAGAAGATTATAGAAGGTCACCTTGTTCTTATCTCCCAGTTCTTGAAGCTCAGCTTCAATAAGCTTATCAATGGACTTCTCTTCCACTTCATATGGGATCGTACATTTTGATGAATTTGTTCCTAGACATTGTTTCTTTGCTGGTGGCTCCTCAGCTTCATTTGCTGAAATTTCCTTACTAACATTGTCCTGTTTAGTGTCTTTAATCTTTTCCTCAGTTTTATTTCCATCGCATCCATCATCTTTCTTATGGTGATCTGATTTCTCAGTTGCTGCATTATCTTGACTAGCATCATCTTTCTTCTGGTGATCTGATTTCTCAGTTGTCGCATTATCATGACTACCATCATCCTTCTTCTGGTGATCTGATTTCTCAGTTGTTGGATTATCATGACTAGCATCATCTCCACGAGTATCAGATTTATTCTCTTCATCCACCCCATTTTCTTGTTCTTCTTCTGCCTTGTCCTCTCCCGCCTGTTTGTTTTCATGATCATCATCATCATCACTACTAGAAGAATCAGAATATGAGAATTTAATCTTCTTATTTGAAGGTTTGTGTTCCTCAGAAAGCTTTAATCCTGAACCTTTCCCATGGACTAGCTCTTCATAAAACTGCAAGACAAACCAAACAACCCAACATATAAGTTTCTCATGTAAAACAGCCAAGAAATAAATAAACAGTCCAGAACGCCATCTCTTAATTTTAAGAGCATTCAGCGCTTTGAATATTTGTCAACCAATAAATAACAAAAACTGAATTATCCTGTTAAATCCAAACAAAGAAAAAACTAAAATAGGCTTTCTCTGTACCCGTAAAGGTATTCTTTAACAGAAGATGTAGATATGTATATAATTCAGTTTTTGTTATTTATATATATGGAAAAGTTTTCTCAATGCATATATAAATTGAACTCCTATTTATTTTTTATCTGAACCAAAAAGAAGAACATCAGTTATCAGACAAAGAAGATTTCTGAAGCTTCACCATGCAAATAAGAGATTTCCTATGGTCCACATAACTAAGTAATTATTCAACGGTACCACGTGTAATAACAAAAAAAAAGTAACAGAGGAACCAGCAGATTCTTTTACAGAACAACGCTTAAATATTGACCCTCTTGGTCTAGTCAGTTCCAATATTCAGCTTGAACTTTACTCCATAGGTGCATGTGGAAGGACTCTAGGAACTACGGCAAATCTTATGGCTATGTAAGACCAGAATTCCAGAACGAAAAAGGCAAATGGAAAAGAAATGAAAGTAGCAACTATAAACAAAAACCCAGATAAAAGTATCAAGAAAGTAGAACATAGGAAAAATACCTATGGGACATTAGCAACTATAGTATCAATAAGCAACAATAAGCAACAATACGCAAAACCCAGATAGAATATTGGCAACCAGAAATGAAAAAGATCATATATTTGAAGAAAAAAGAAATGAGGAAAAAAAGAGACAAAAAAAGAGAAGAAAGCAACATACAGAGTCAATAACGTTAATGGCCTCATTAGAGGCTTGGCGTTCCCTGCCACCATCACAAGTAATAAAGAAGCCTTGCACTCCAGGGTGTAATGGGTACGACCCTTTCTTCTTCACCGCTTTCTGAACATCAAAATACAACAAACAGTCTATAAGAAGAAAGAAAAGTGAGTTGAGAGAAATAAGAACTCAACTTTTCAAAGTATCTAAATTTCTCAGAGAGAGAGAGAGAGAGAGAGAACTAACGTTGTGAGGGAGATACCGTTGCTTCCCCTTCTTGGACTTATTGGCTGCGGAAGTGGACTTGGATTTGCTATCAGTCGCCATTTTTGAGTTTCAGAGCAAAGAGGAGTTACAGCACTTTTCTACGAGCGCGGCGATGGGATACTGGCCTTAAAACCACGCGTGTTTTGTTTTCATTTTTTTAATCGGTAAAATAAAGGTAATTAAGATCAATGTCACGGCCCGAGGATCTTGCCTGCTGGGCTTTGAGAATATGTGTTAATGTTAGCTTGTTGTCTTTGGGCCAACCTGAGCTCGTTGTCTTTGGGCCTCCGAGATCGTTGACTCGTCCTTGGGTTCAATAAGGCCTTCTCCAACTCATTTGGCCCTAAACACAAATTTTCCCCTGCCAAAAAGTAACTATTTGGATTTTGCTCAGACTTAAACCATTTTTTCCCCAACCCTTCAGACTCAAATTTTAAATCCGCAACTTTATTAAATTATTTAAGAATAGTTTAAGTCTAATTTTCCTTTTCATAGATAACTTTTCTTCATTTAATCTTTTAGGTGGGTATTTATAGAGTTTTGAGTGAGTTCTGGGGTTGGATATGATTTAAATTAATTAAAAATATTATTAAACCGTTGGATTTAAATTTCAACCGTTGAATTTTTTTTACCATTAAAATAACTTGGATTTAATATGGATCGTTGATTTGGGTTCTTGTTGGAATAAACAATTTCAAAAAAAGTGATGCGCCACCAGAGTGCAACAGCTTTTGTACAACATCAGGGTGACATTTGGCTCCCCATTGATTCCTCCTTGCACATGGGTTGCGTCAGCCTTGAGTATGCTCCACCCAAAAGTTCTCTAGTCCAGGTAATAGCAGAACTAGTATTTGGCTCCAAGTTTGAGTTTTCTCAAATTTGGCCCTTACTTTTCTTGGGTTGGGAGAGGAATTGGGCTAAAATTTGGGATTTTTTGGTTTGGCCTAATGGGTTGGAGATGTGATAGGACCCGCCCCAAATTTTTCAAAATCCGGGACAAATCCTGTGAAAATCCCGGCATCACACCAATGCCGAGCTCACTCACTAAAACTGTAGTCTCCTTTTTCCAAAAGGAATAAGGGCACGAGACTTTCTACCGAAATTTCGGCAGAGTCTCCCCTGTAAATTGAACATTCCCCAAATTCAAACTGCACAAAATTCACATTTTAATATCCCAACAGGCAGCACGCATAATATAACAACATGCAATTCACATAGACGGCCTCCGGCCTTCAAATAATGAATGCCCACCCTAATCAATAAAAATAACTTTCCAAATATCCAACATACAAGGTTTTAACCTCCTAACAAAAACACATCTCGTTTTCACCCCAAATTTCATGACCAACGACAAGGCCCGAACCAATCTCAATAAAACAGCATAAATAGAGTTTAGTCTGCAGCTGCACCTAAGCACTACCCTAGGCTGCCTACGTACCCTTACTAAAGGATCAAGCCACACGTAGTTCTTTCAACAAAAATCTTGGTTCCAGTAACATACAAACCATTACAGCCATACAAATTCATACATACTAGAATTTATCTCATTCCCTTTTTAATTTAAATCACAACTCATCAAACACAATCTTTTTCAAACATCTTTCTAATAATCACATAATGTCCTAATTCGCTGGAAAATCCAACGCCACATATGGGGTCTGTCAACACGCCGGAAAATCCTATGCCACGTGCGACCTCAACATAATATCACATAACCTCCCCATACGTCGGAAAATCCAACACCACGTATGGGGCCGTCAACATGCCGGAAAATCCTACATCACGTGCGACCTCAACATAATATCACATAATCTCCCCATACGTCGGAAAATCCAATGCCACATATGGGGCCTGTCCTCACGTTAGAAAATCCTAAGCCACGTGGGACCTCACAATCACATCACATAATCTCCCCATACGTCGGAAAATCCAACACCACGTATGGGGCATGTCTCAACGCTGAAAAATCCTACGCCATGTGAGACCTCACAATCACAGGGTGGTACTTACAGTGTAATCAAACATCTTTATATCTTTATAATATATATATATATAAATTTCCAAAATAGCATAAACCGCAACCACTATATAGCCTCCAATAATGCCCCAATTAAAACAATAATTTAGTATCCTAATCCCACATAATCAACTAACGATCAATACCTGTCTCTACAGTCATTCTAACCCTCCTAGGTAGGTAGAACTATCTCGGAACTCTCACGGTCACCCCAGGGTCAAACTATCCAACCTTAGTCAAACGGGCCCGCGGGCCCACGACTTCCAAATTCTAATCCAAAAGTTCATATAGGCTCTACAAAGCTTAGGACACACGTCCTGCAAGTTTGGTCCAGATCGGACAGTTGGATCGCTCACAATGGCACAATCGGACGGTTACTGTAATCCTAACCCTAGGGTTGGCATTTCCAGAGTATCCGGGACTCTGTTTTACGATCCGTCAAATCCTATACAATCCTAAGGATGTCCAGATTGACATATATTAAATTCACAATAATCCAACGGTTCAAACATATCGAACCCGAATAACGCACAATATGCGATATTCAATCAACGATCAAACGATATATGAATTCATATCCGAGCATACCGTCATGCTCGAGACGACATGAGGATGATTTTAGGACTCAAGGACAGGCCAAAAAATGGCCCACATGCTGCCACACGAGCCGGCAGTGCGTGGGTGGCTTGATCAAATTCCGGCAACCAGAAATCCTCAAAACTGGAACCCAGCTTCCTACCCTAGGTAAAACACCCTATTGGAACCACTTTTGTTCTTGGACCTATCCCAAAAACTGAAATCCTACCCAACCATCAGCTAGATTATGAAGAAATGATGAATTTCCATACCTTGATCGCCAAAAATGGTGGCCGGAGGAGAGAGATCGGAGCCGGCGAAGTTTCGAGCGAAAACCGGCCTAAAACTCACATTTTATGGCTGCTGGAGCGGCAACCGATGTCGAGGAAGGGCCGGGTCGTGCCGTCGGGGCTGAGTTGGTCCTTTTGGCACCGATCCCATCCGCAGTCGTGGCCGGTGGCCGGAGTTTCGAAGAGAGAAAGGGAACTACAGTGCGAGGAGAGAGAGAGAGAGAGAGAGAGAGAGAGAGAGAGAGAGAAATCAGATTTTATCAAACCCTTTTTGCCAAAATTACGATTATGCCACTGAAGGTATTTTGATCATGTCTCTCTTGTTACAACTCCGATTCAAGCCCACCAAGTGTCTATGAACTCATCTCGCCGTGCCCTACGCAACGGTATATTCGAAATTCCCAAATTTTTTCCCAGTCAAAAAGTCAACTTTAAACCTAATAAAATATTCTAGGGGCAAAATGGTCTTTTATCATGTTTAATTAATAATTTAAACATTTATTTAGGACCGGGTCGTTATAGATGACCTAAGGAAGTCTTTCAATCGTCTACCAACTTTTTTCTCGAAAACAAACACATTATTTTTCCTCAAATTGAAAATTTGGAATCTTTCTAGTTAACTACCATGTTGACCGAACTTGCTAGTAAAACACGGTGATCAAATTGGTGAAAATAAATTCACAATGACCAAAATTGAGGCAAAACACAATAAGAATGTGTTTTACCCTTATATGTTTGATAGATCCTCACAGATTGCTGGTAGAAAGTCATTAATATATTTCTTGCTTTGTATATTACCCTCTATAAACATTATCTTAGATATCAACCGTAGATAAAAACATCACTGTTACATAAATAGTAAATTATAATAAGGCTTAATTGCTACAGTGCCCTCTAAAAGAATGGTCAAATCTCACATTGCACCCTGAAAGTCAAAGTGACCCATTTTGCCCATTTGACCGAAGTTTTGCGTCTTACTTTACCCCTATCGTCAAGTGTGTTAAAAAATATATTAAAAACACTAACGTGACACGAATGGGACTCATTGTTTTGCTTAAATATATGCTACGTAAGTTCCTTGTCAATAAAATATTTTCTTTGGAAAACAAGAACTTAATTTAACTTCTTCTTTTTTTTAAAGCTCTCTTTAAAATAAATAAAAAATTATTAAATGTGTATTGTAATTTAACTGTTTTGTGGTACCATTCTATGTCAACAATAGTTTGATGTATTTCTTATATGTGCTTACTTGACATGGACTAACATAAACTTTTATTACTTTTGTTGGTGGAAGAGTTGTATTTACAAAAGATGTGTGTTTGCATAATGGTTGTGGCGATGATTGATATTTTGTCAACGTGTTCTAACAAAGTTCTTTATTAACCTTTCTACAACACATGCGTACAAGTATCTCCCTAAACAAATACTTTTACTCAAGAGACTATTTCAATACCCCCGCCGCCATGAAGGTTTAGCAAGAGTAATAGTGGCGTGGCACAATTAACCATACCAATGGGGAAAAGATTCTCAATGACTCCATAAGGATCAACCATAGGAAGAGAAAATAAATAACTATTCAAAAGAAGACCGATGGTCATAGAATTAAGAGATTGAAATTTTGCTATAAAGGCTAAATGAAAACTTTAGAAAGACATCTGAAGCACATGTCAAATTCATGTGAGTCACGCATATAGAAACCCAAATTTAAGAGCTTTGTATGATCCAACGAGACTAGGCCGTGACTGAAGCTCTACAATGCTTATTAGGTAAGATAACCATTTGAATGGTTATCGAGCTTGCCTGCTCACTTATCCTTATTTTAAATTCCAAAATTAAATATGGAGTTGTCGAAGAGCAGTTCCAAGCAATGTTCTTAAACTGCCACGTCCTAAACCCAAGGTATAGTAAAAATTCTGAACCCAATCCGTAATAAATAAAGGGTAAAATAAAAAGGGTCGAAATAGGGTTTTAGAATAAACTTCTCTTATAAAATAGTTGCAAGATCTTACAATGTACCCGAAATAAATAAAGTTCTATCACTCTCATCTAAATCAACCTTAGCTTGCCAACTATCCATCTTTTGGGTTTAAGACTTCAAGGTTAAAAGGGTGAGCGAAACAACAGCTCAATAAGGACATAAACCTTACCACAGTAAATTGATATAACTAAATTAAGTG